ATAATAAAAAAATAATTCTAAAATTTGAAAATATAACTCTTTGCCAATATTACTGAGTATATATTTCATTCATTTGTCATTTGTTTTACGAATTGGCGGCAAATTGAAAATTGTCTGTGTCACGTCATCATGAATTTAACACGAGAAAATTTTCGTGCAATGATTTTTTATGACTTTCGATGTCATTTAAGTCAACAAGAAAGTTATGATAGACTACGATTGGCCTTTCACGATGAAGCCCCATCTCGTGCGACTGTTTACAACTGGTTTAATGAGTTTAAACGTGGTCGCACTAATCTCACTGATGATTTACGTGAGGGACGGCCTTCTACGGCGACGACTGAAGATAACATCTGTGTTGTGCGGCGTATGATAGAGACTGACAAAAGAGTGACCTATCAACAGATTCGGACAAGCTTAGGCATCGGTATGAGTCAAGTGCACAAAATCCTCCACGAACATTTAGCGGTCAGGAAGCTTTGCGCCCGGTGGATACCTCATAATTTGACTGAGGCTCAAAAACTCCATCGTGTGGATTGGTGTCGTAAAATGATTGAAAGATTTAACGGAGGTGACTCAAATGCTGTGTTCGACATACTAACAGGTGACGAAAGCTGGATTTACTGTTATGATCCTAAAACCAAAAGACAATCTGCTCAGTGGGTGTTTCCTTTCGAGGAGTTGCCAACTAAAGTGAAGAGAGATCGAAGTGCGGGAAAAAAAATGGTGGCCTCGTTCTTTGGAAGGATAGGTCATTTTGCAACAATTGTGTTAGAGGATCAAAAAACAGTTTCTGCAGAATGGTACACTACCAATTGTTTGCCACTTGTCTTGGAAAAAGTTCGAGAGAAACGACCTCGCAGTAGGATCCTCCTTCACCACGACAACGCCTCGTCGCACACCGCCAAGCGAACGATCGACTATTTGGCGACATCAAACGTTGAATTACTGGGTCACCCGCCGTATAGGCCCGACCTCGCGCCTTGTGATTTTTATTTATTTCCAAAAATTAAAGAAAAACTTAAAGGAAAGCGGTTTATGAATGCTGAAGAAGCGGTGGCTGCGTATCGCGATGCCATTGAAGAGACCCCTAAGGACGAGTGGGCAAAGTGCTTTTCCCAGTGGTTCCATCGCATGCAGCGGTGTATTGACGTGAATGGACAATATTTTGAAAAGATATAATAAAACTAATAACTGGCTAATGTAATCAGTTTTTGATTTTCTAAGAACTTTCAGTTTGACCCTCGTATTATCTATAGGTTCATATATAAAAGGAGATGTCCAGACTGACTGACAGACAACGCAGAGCCTAAACGGCTGGTCGTAGAAACTTGAGGGAACATTCTGAGTGTACTAAGAACGGATTTATGGAAATTCCACCCCGAAGGGGGTCAAAAATGGTGATACAATTTGTATGAAACTTCTTTGTTTATGGATAAATGTCGATGAAAATTGGTATTTGGGTAGTTTATGACCCTAGGAAGGTAGTAGGTTATATTTTATCACGAAAACTAGCACTTAGAGGTATAAAAATGGCAGTGAAAGACTTTATGGGGAATCAAAATGTTACCATAGCAACCATTGTTTACAATTTGATTTGTCATTGTAATAAATTTACCAAATATTATTTACAAAATGTTTTATTGTATAGCGATTAAAATTGGTATTTGAGTAAATATTACATTTTTGAAATTTAATATATAAAAATGTTCAAATTCAAGTAATTTTGTTTACGAAAGAAAACGATATTTTTATATTATATATATGTATATATGATCTACACTGGATGGAGTTAAATGAATTCTAAATCGCAGATTTTTTTGCCTGATGGCGAGTATATTCTATATTATTTTGATCAAGGAACTTTACCGAGAGTTTGTTTTTGAATCGATGAAAATAAGTATTTGAGTAGTTTAAGGTCCTGAAAACATAATGTTATATTTTATACCGAAAACCACCACTTATTTAATGGGATTAACGGGAGTGGAAGTTTTTATGGAGAATTGAATATTACCCTAGCAACTATTGTTTATTCGTTTAATTTCACTGTAATAAATATATCTAATATTATTTACAAATATTGAATTACATAGCGATGAAAATTGCTGTTTATGTAATTTTAAACAAAATAAAATATTTAAAATTGTTTTACTTAAAAATGTTCAAATGGAAGTTTTGCTCAAGATAGATTTTTAAAAGAAAATATAGTAAGAAAAAAAAGCTTTGCTATACTAGATCTGCGCTAACGTTTCTTTCAAAGAATTTTGCATAGATTATGTTTTCTATTAAATGTTGTGTAAACTTCAGAACTGTTTTTTCCATCTGTATTTCAATTTGGATTGGATTGAATTAATATCTCTAAAGTTTTCATTGATAAATGTGCTAAAAACATATTGAAAAATTTTTTTTTTTTTGTTTTTTGTATTTTCGAACTTAAATATCAAGGTAATTTCATCATCAGCTCGAAAAACAACAACGTTTTTGGAAAATATATGTTGCCCAAAGTAACTATACCACGCGGACGAAGTCGCAGGCAAAAGCTAGTAATATTATAAGTGAAACAGAAAATTATGTTTCAGATTAAAGGTATAATTATTTCATTAGTAACATTTTTTGGATTTTTTGGTAATTATTTGACATATTTACGATTATGATAAAAATATTTAAGAAATAGTTCGAAGAAATGGGCAGGCAGTTTGTCTGCAGGTAGGTTAAACGCGTTAAACGAATTTTGCTTCTTGAGGAGCCGCTTTAATTCAAGAATGTTTTAAAGCGTGCTAAATAGTTTTATAATAATGTAAAAACATGTTCTTTGTAATATTATAAAATTAAATCGCTTTGTTGAAAACCGTTAAAGTACAACCAGGTACAATAGTTACTATTATATATTTTTTTGTCACTGTTTAGTCACTAAAGGCCTTAGTTATTAAAAATAATTTTATTTGGATACTCACTCATAGTTACTACACACCATGCAAAAAGTTTAGATTTTCTTTACTAGCTTTCCGCCAGCGACTTAGGCCGCGTGATCCTGTATTACACATAAAAACCTTCCTTTTGAATCACATTATCTATTTTAAAAAATCCGCATCAATATCCGTTGTGCAGTTTTAAAGATCTAAGCATGCATAGGGCAGGCAGACGGAAAGCACCTTTGTTGTATACTAAGTATTGATTTCACATCATGCAACCGTGCATTCTTCCACAAAAACAAATTGTTTGCATTCAGATGGTTTTTGTGATAAATTATGTATTTTAATTTATAGGACAACAAATTAAAGAAAGTGGGGTGACCAAGCAACGTAAAATACATACTTTAATATGTTTAGTGAGATAATCGTAGAGAGTGTAGTGCGTAAGTGCGACGTCAATAGTTTCATGGATATGTCGCAAGATTATGTTAAAGACAGGATTTTAATCTAACTCCAGAGAATGATAAAAATATATTGGATGATAAAAAGGTTTTTGATATATGAACTGAACTAAATTTCCTATATTATTCACTATTATAGGTCACGTGATGGGTTACAAATTTCTATTCCTGATAGCGATCGCCTTAAAAACGAATAAAGAGGTTATTTCAGCAAATAATTAGATTTCTTTTTTGGACACCCTACATTAATGATATCACCAAAGGTGGATTACCATATCATTAAGCGTAGACGCTTTAACGATATGATCTTAGGTGGTCGTTTCATGAAATAACATGAACCATTTCATAAAACGGCCGGCCGAATCATGATATGATCAATTTACGATATGGCCACGACATAAAGTTAGTTCTTGTAGAATCGCCCGCTAAGCTGGGTGGAGGAAGACGAAAATGGCACCCTCCACGGCAAAGGGGTGGCCTTTGTCCTTGTGCGCATTTTGCAAAACAAATTCAACTTCACGTACGAAGTGGTCGTACCCGAGAAGAACTATGAGATGGGTGGCAACGACCCGATGGATTCCCTAATTGGTCTGGTTAATAACAGCGTGAGTTATTTGACTAACACTTCCCAATTTTTTTGCTAAAATTAGTTATAAGTTGGAATAGTTTACCAGTTACATATTTCCTCATTAGTTATCTAAATATAAATATGGCTATATAACTCAAAGGTGACTGACTGACATAGTTATCTATCAACACACAGGCCAAACCACTGGACGGATCGGGTTGAAAGGCATGCAGGTAGATGTTATGACGTAGGCATCCACTAAGAAAGGATTTTGATCAATTCTACCCCCAAGGGGATAAAATAGGGGATGAAAGTTTGTATGAAACTTTGTCAATTTTAAACCGATCGGGCTGAGATATTGCATACATAAAGCTACTATAACGTAGGCATCCTCTAAGAAAGGATTTTGATAAATTCCACCCTAAGGAGATAAAATAGGGGATGACACTTTATTTCAGGTATTTTATACGATATAATGAATAAATATTCGTTAGAAATGCTGCTCAAAGTAACTTAATAACGCGGACGAAGTCGTGGGCAAAAACTAGCAAAATATAAAAATAAGGATATGAGTCAAAAATGTTTGTAGGTACGCTTCGACTCACGCTTCACCAGTTTTGCACTAATAAAGCTGTAGTAAAAGGCAATTTTTTAAAAACGAAAATTTATGCATTCTTTGTGGGGCGTACTTATTTCCACTTTTTTTTTATAACGCAAGCGAAACACACCTTAACCTTCAATCAGGGTTCTCTAACCCTGTCCAGCATGCTTACTCTCGAACGGACAGGAACATGGTTGGCCTACCTGGTAAAATTTGCTGCAGAATACCCTCAGTGGGGAGAAGGATCTGGCAAGCAAGGAGTCTTATTCCTCGCTTTCATTTGTCGGTCATTGCTTTATTGACCAATGTGATAAGCGTGCAGAGGTAACGCACACACACGCAACGTTCTGTCCCTATCGACCAATGTAAATGGATAATTATATAAGAATATTTAATTTCTCAATTTATTCTTTATAAAGTTGGTAGATATGGCAGCGGCTTTTCTTCCCAAGATACGGATGTACCTCGACAAGGCGTTGTTTTCCTATGACTTGGATGAGGGAGTCTGGATGATGATGCTTAAGCGACCCAAGGAGTCTGCTGCGGGGTCTGGACTCCTAGCTCCTTTCACTAATTTAGTATGGTAAGTAATGAATAGTAAGTGACCCTTTTTTAAGGTTTAAACCGACTAAATTAACTTTAGTCCTACTAATAAGATAGCATATCTTTTTAAAATATAGGTACTTAAAAAAGACTCCTAGTGTCCTACATAGAAGCATATGCATAGATTCTAGGGTTGCTAGGATTTTTCAGCCTGTAAGAGATAAATTCTTAAAAGAGCAAAAATTTTTATCCAGGATTAATGAATAAACAAATTAATTACTTTTTACATTTGTCAGAGAAACGCGCATGTTCTTAGTCTAGCTAATAATTCAGTAAACTAAAACAACCAAGCCATTGAAACATGTAAATAATAAAACAAGAACATTGAATAAGTATAATAACATATTGATAAAATCAATAAAACCTTCTTATGTATAGCCATGGCTAGAGTTATAACAGAGTGAGAGAATTAGATGGTCGCTCCCCAATTTGTAAACGCATGTATATATCCTTAATTAAAGTAGGTATATATCCCTTTTAGCTACGATCACATGATTGGTAAAAGGAGGGCAATGCTACTAAACGTAAAAAAATACGGGAAATATGCAACGAACAATAGTAGGTTTGCAGATTTAAATCGTGTTCACTGGTTCCTGGTGTGGAATTGGCGTACTTACCATAGATATTTTTACGACTAAGGGTTCGGGATAAAAATTGCTAATAAAGATAACACGCAAAATAGTGAGTTGGTTAGAATGAAACTTTGAATCGAAATATAATAAACATATTAACGATTGTTTGAGGGAGTTTTATGAATTTGATAGAACGACTCACTTTAGTTTAGTTTTGCGTTTCCACTCAACTAGTGCCTATTTAAAGTTATCTTAGATCAATAATATCAATCGGTTGAAGTAAAGTAAGGAGAAAAGACTAAAAACTTATGTTATGTAATTACAAATAACATTAACAAAATACCTATGGAGTAAATAAAGAAATTAATAACCAAAAGATATTCATTTTGCGTAAGAAAATATTTTCACAATAACTTGTTTTACAACAATATGTTATTAGTATAGCTTTCAATATTCAATCATTTATTAATCACAAATGTTTATCTCGGCCTGGCCGGCGGCGAGTAGTGGTGCGCCGACTTCCTCTCTCATTTGTCTTACTCAATATTTGCGTTAATTTCATTCTCTTTACCTTTCATTCTCTTCACCTGAGGCGAGTATTACCTCAAATGAGGGGTACCTCGCGAGTACCTCGTGAAGTAAAACGAGATCCTGACTAATCCTCAGTAAATCCGACTAGGCTTGACAAATAAATATCGATATATCGATATTTTCAATTCGATATATCGATATCAAATTGTAACAAATACGATATTTTCTTTTGTTTTTATTTGAACGAGAAAATTGACCAAACATATCATTAAATTGTCTTTCCACTATCCGCACACTTTTGCTCTTTGGTTTTTCGTAATCCGTAATGAACCTCAACGCGCGTGTTTTTCTGCATTTGAATTGATTGTAGTCCACAATCTTACCAATTCAATCAATAATGACAAAGTATTTTAAAAAACATTAGTTTCCGAAATCAAACTAGATGTCGCTACGGTACGTTCTTGATTTCTCCATAACAACCCTTCCGGTTTTCATTCATGTTTAAAAGTAAATTAGTTTTCAAAACTCAATAAACAACTCATATTCTATGTTTACTTTTTCGTATTTGTATTGAAATCTAAGTTTCGAAATTTTCAAATCTCAGTTTTTTAATATGTTAGTTGAAAGGAATGGAAATGACTGTCTTTGGTCCATTCGTTTCCTGCAAAAATCAACTTTTGCTAGAGTCCCCATCTAGTGGATGAGCTTTTTTAGTGCTTTCTTTTTATTTTAAATACTTCCTCATTAAATTGAGCGTTCACATCTAAAAAATAAGCATCATAAAACTAAAAACGCAAGTCAAGTGAAGTGAATGATAATATTACACCAAGTTTTTCAGATCAGAACCTAAAATGATTAGACCTTTTTTTTCATATCGCACCGATATATCGATACTTTATTGCATTTCCGATTCCTACATCCCCATGCGTTACGCATACCCGCTTCACCCTGCGCAAGCTCCACGGGTTATGTGGGACTCCTCCTGCGGCCCCACCCCCGAAGGGGCTAGGCAAAAAGCAGTAGTATACCCACTAAAACTCAGCGATGTCCCTCTCACGCAGGTGGAGCATAGCATGGGCCCCGAGAGGGACCATTTAAACGGTGTTAACGCGATTCATTGATGCCATCTAGTAATTAATATCATAGGTAGCCGTTACTTGTGACACTCACATAATGCAATTCTAAATTTCAGGTATTTCATATTAGTAGCTGTCTTAGCATACGGTCCCTGCATAACTTTGCTCACCAAGTTACGATACAAGCTGATGTCGGATGACGAGAAACCAATACCGGTGTATCCTAGTTTTTGGTTTGTGTACGGAGCTTTTATAAAACAAGGAACCAATTTGGCACCTGAGGCGAGTAAGTATTCCCTCAATAATCCTGTAATGCAATGAACTCGGCGTCGAGCACAGAGCGCTGTCTGTCTCGCAGTCTAGAGATTTTATTGAAGTTAAAACCGAGTCATTTCCGAGCCATTTCAAGTCGAGAGAAATCTATCTATCTACTTTTACGCTTTATCCCTAGTGAGGTAGCCAGGGAAAATAAAGAAATAATAACTATCTACCATTATTACTATCGGAGCTCATCGGATTCAAAACATCAATAGCGATATTCGATTTCGGAGTCAAAATATCAACGACATAGTGCAATATGACTACTTATAGCAAAGTACTTACAGGGAATTAAAATATATTTTTATCCCGCTAAAAGACTGTTGATACATAAGTTTCGATTCAATCTCCCTGTCGTCAGAAATTTGTTTATTATTATAATACTTATTATACCGAGTATTAACATGAAATACCCATCGTGTTTAACGGTCAATTCTATTTAATGTTGATGGCATCTACTAATGGTTTATGTCATCCATCACGCTCGTCACACCCTTTTACCAAACCTCTGATTACAGTAAAATATGTCAAAAGTATACTTATAGGTAGATATAATAGGAGGTTGACAAGTTTTGATAAATGAAAGTATATTGATACGAAGATATGCTTTGCTTCATGACCTTCACTATTTAATGTGTAATCAAATGTAGTTTTTAGGTATATGTTTACTGGATTTAGGTAGATAATTAATTGAAACATATTGAATGACCTAACTACTAATATAGTTTGTACTGTTAATTTTAAATAGGTACCTAATATATCTAATATGACTATAATTTATCAAATTATATAGTTAGGTAACCTATTCATATGCCCACTTATTAAATTAATTAGGTACGTATTTGACTCGAAAATGGGGGTGAGTGTCCTGGCGACTCGGTCACGGCTTCCCGGGTCTCATCTCCCAGGGTACACCGTAGGGGTTTTGGTGGGTAGGCCTCCGGGAACTCACTGGGCAGCTCACCTGCCGAGTGGGTTCACGGAGGAGAGTCCCACACACCCCTGTTGCTTGCCAGGTAACAGGGATAGTGCCAAAAGCATTTCCTCGACGATAAAAAAAATGGTACTTATTTGCCTTGCATTTTGAGTGGTTCATGATAGAACCTAGGCAGCGCTGGCTCAAGGAAACTTGGCGCCCTAGGCAAAACACTGGAACTTGGCGCTCTAGGCATAACACTGGAACTTAGTGCTCTAGGCAAAACACTAGAACTTGGCGCCCTAGATAAAACTCTGGAACTTGGCGCCTTAGGCAAAACATTGGAACGACGACCATAAAAAAAATGTAGGTAGGTACACCTATTGTAGAGTAATAATTACTCTGTTAAAATAGGTTTATTTTTCTAATGACAAAAGAAACTCGTTAGGTACTGCTAGTTTGAAAGTTTTGTACTTTGAGTACCGCGGACGTGAACTCATGTTCCAAGAATAAAAGTATTTTTTAAGGTATTGCATTTTAAAGGTTAGGGTTAGCAAACATAATCTACGATATTTGTCGTGCTATTCCACCACCCAAATACAAGCGCCCAACAAATAATTATTATATGATCTTCGAATTTCATTTTTAAAAAACCACAAAATTGCGTTGAAACCTACAAGAATAGGCATAGGATATATAGAGGTTGATAATAATTCTAAAATAAAAAGCCGTGGGTTTCGATATTTTTTCTATATAATGACATAATAAAACAAAACACAAAAGAAAATATTAAAATAATAAAAAGTATACAAAAAACTATATAAAGAGGTTTTACTGTCGTCGTCGTCAGCAACAGAGGTATTAATACGAGGGTCAAACTGAAAGTTCTTAGAACTGGCCACTTATAAACAATATAATAAAAAAATAATTCTAAAATTTGAAAATATAACTCTTTGCCAATATTACTGAGTATATATTTCATTCATTTGTCATTTGTTTTACGATTTGGCGGCAAATTGAAAATTGTCTGTGTCACGTCATCATGAATTTAACACGAGAAAATTTTCGTGCAATAATTTTTTATGACTTTCGATGTCTTTTAAGTCAACAAGAAAGTTATGATAGACTACGATTGGCCTTTCACGATGAAGCCCCATCTCGTGCGACTGTTTACAACTGGTTTAATGAGTTTAAACGTGGTCGCACTAATCTCACTGATGATTTACGTGAGGGACGGCCTTCTACGGCGACGACTGAAGATAACATCTGTGTTGTGCGGCGTATGATAGAGACTGACAAAAGAGTGACCTATCAACAGATTCGGACAAGCTTAGGCATCGGTATGAGTCAAGTGCACAAAATCCTCCACGAACATTTAGCGGTCAGGAAGCTTTGCGCCCGGTGGATACCTCATAATTTGACTGAGGCTCAAAAACTCCATCGTGTGGATTGGTGTCGTAAAATGATTGAAAGATTTAACGGAGGTGACTCAAATGCTGTGTTCGACATACTAACAGGTGACGAAAGCTGGATTTACTGTTATGATCCTAAAACCAAAAGACAATCTGCTCAGTGGGTGTTTCCTTTCGAGGAGTTGCCAACTAAAGTGAAGAGAGATCGAAGTGCGGGAAAAAAAATGGTGGCCTCGTTCTTTGGAAGGATAGGTCATTTTGCAACAATTGTGTTAGAGGATCAAAAAACAGTTTCTGCAGAATGGTACACTACCAATTGTTTGCCACTTGTCTTGGAAAAAGTTCGAGAGAAACGACCTCGCAGTAGGATCCTCCTTCACCACGACAACGCCTCGTCGCACACCGCCAAGCGAACGATCGACTATTTGGCGACATCAAACGTTGAATTACTGGGTCACCCGCCGTATAGCCCCGACCTCGCGCCTTGTGATTTTTATTTATTTCCAAAAATTAAAGAAAAACTTAAAGGAAAGCGGTTTATGAATGCTGAAGAAGCGGTGGCTGCGTATCGCGATGCCATTGAAGAGACCCCTAAGGACGAGTGGGCAAAGTGCTTTTCCCAGTGGTTCCATCGCATGCAGCGGTGTATTGACGTGAATGGACAATATTTTGAAAAGATATAATAAAACTAATAACTGGCTAATGTAATCAGTTTTTGATTTTCTAAGAACTTTCAGTTTGACCCTCGTATAAAGTGATGACTCTTTCAATTATTTACTGTTTTTAGATACAACACGCGTGCTATTTACCACTTGGTGGCTATTCATAATACTTTTGTCAGCATTTTACACAGCCAATTTAACGGCATTCCTGACCCTCTCCAAGTTCACTCTGGATATAGAATACCCTCACGATTTGTATAAGAAGAATTATCGATGGGTTGCGTCAAAGGGCAGCGCCGTAGAGTTTGTTGTAACTACAGTGAGTAAAATTTTCGCTTCCGTTATTTCCTCACACAAATATGAAATACGTATAACATAACATATATAAATCTATTTATATAATAGGAATATTCATTTTATCTGTTTTATGCCTAACCTTAGGAGGTTAGGCAGGGTTAGGTTCTGACTAGGGTCAGAGACGTTAATAAATTATAATGTAAAATAGCATTGTTTTTCTTAAAAGTGCTTTATTTCATTGTCTTTACGCAATTAAAGTTAAATGATGTCTCTAAGTAACTTATATGTTAGTCCTGTATCAAAGGCTATTTAAAAACCGCTAAGTTTCAGACTTCCGTTTAATCGCCCTGTGGGTTGACCCTTATATTGAAACTGAACTCGCTTAAGCACTTACTACCTATTTCAATATATTTATAACCAAAAAATATATTACTTCGATGTAAGTGCCTATTTTAGAACTCTTATTTTTCAGCCTAGCACAGATATTAGCTACCTGAGCAAGATGATAACTACTGGCCGCGCTGAATTTAAGTCTATGGGGAACGACTATGAATATTTACCTTTAGTGAAATCCGGAGTAGTTCTAGTCAAAGAACAGACTGCTATTGACGATATGATGTACGCAGATTATCTGACTAAGGCCAGGGAAGGGGTCGAGGAAGCAGATAGGTGTACTTATGTTGTCGCACCCAATGCATTTATGAAGAGTGTCAGAGGTTTCGCTTACCCGAAGGATAGTAATCTGCGTAAATTGTTTGATAATGTGTACGTATGAAGTTTTAGTGAAAAATAATAATTACCCTAAAAGCGACGTATTTAGAAAATGCTATTAAAGTCTGTAGGTTATTACTCGTAATTAAATGATAAGCGCCAAACTTCAATGGCATTTTCTTGAATAAGACGCTTTTGATATAAATATTATTCGTCACTTTTTTTAAGTTTGAAGTCGGTACTACATTTTTCTAGTTTTTATTTAATGCGTCACTAAAAAGTGATATTGATATTTTTCATATAATAGGTACACGTTTTTCTGAAAACCGCGTCAAAATCGTGCCATCGTGCGAACCTCCATTTTTTTAGTTAGTTAATATACCTTAAACCTTCTCCTAAGTCTGACCAATTGCTATGTTGGTAATATACATACGTACGGGTCAAATGAGAACCTCCTATTTTGAAGTCGGTTAAAAACGCTGGCCACCACTACGCTCTTGATTTTTGTTTGATTTGTAATAGTTAATAATAAGTAGATGAACGATTCATATAAGTAAAGGAGAAACTGAATCATGGTTTTGGGTGGTTGTTGGTTACCCAATATAGGATTATATACCGATAGGCCCGTCTTAAGCACAACAGGCGCCCGGGTGCAAGCAGTCCTCTGGCGCCTTCCCACCCCATCTCCCATTCCAGGGAATTTCCCGATTATCATCGGCGCGGCGCCCGGGTGCGTTGCACCCCCCGCGCCATGGGTAAAGACGGACCTGTATACCGATAGCATTTTTAAATGAATATTTTTATCTGTACTTAATCAAATTTCTAGCTTGATATTCATCGTACAAGCCGGCATAATAGACTTCCTGGAACGTCGCGATCTTCCATCGACAAAGATCTGCCCTTTGAATTTGCAGTCGAAGGATCGTCAGCTACGGAACAGCGACCTGATAATGACGTACATGATCATGATTGTGGGCATATCGTCTGCTGTAGCCTTGTTTATTGGGGAGGTATTTATATTATATTTGAATAATACTTAAATATGACACTTTCAATAAAACCGAGCGATTGTTATAAAAACAAAAACCGCAACTACTGGGCACCGGTGTGTAACTAATGTATGGAATCGAATCGATTGTATGGATTGCGTGTTATCGACAGCCGATGCCAAACAGGACTAACGGCTTTACGTGCCTTCCCAAGCGCGGAGGAGCTTGAGAACACAATTTTTTGGTCACCCATCCCATGAACGGCCATTGCGAAAGTTGCTTAACAAACGTATCGCAGATCGAACGCTCTATCCGCTGCGCCATTAACCGATTGAATAAAAATAATGTTCTTTAGTTTATTTATATCTAACAAGGGTTTGTGGCAGAACCAATGAAGGTGACTTCAAAGATTATGCAACGGCATTCGTGGAAATCAATATTCCATATAATGAATACAATCTCTGGTTATCCTTATCCTATCGCTCTACCTGAGACAACTCCTCAATCAACTATTGACTGCTAATAATATTGTTATCTTTTTAGGTGATAACTAAGCGTTACGTCCGCGTAAATGTTACTAAGAACAGCAAGCATAAACATAAGAAGGCCAGGTTTAATAACAATCCAAAGATATACTACGATGACAGTCGACCTCCACCTTACGAATCTATCTTCGGAAAGAATGGAAAATTTAAAGTAACAGAAAACTCAAAGCCTAAAATTATAAACGGCAGAGAGTATTTAGTCGTGAACGCAGCTAACGGAGATACCAGGCTCATTCCAGTAAGGACACCGTCCGCTTTCCTTTATTACATGGATAAATGATTAATGGGAGTGAGAGGCACAACGTAGTGAAGACACCTTTATAGGACTATTAGCTCTACACTTTTAACTTACTTTTACTATGTAGAATCGTAGGTACAACAGCATTTTTAACCCCTAGACCTGAAATTCTTAACCCGTCTGTCATAGGTAATTTAGTTCGTTCAAGCGCAGCAAGATGGACATGTGTACAGCCCTAACCGAGTTCATGTTTTTGCCCAACTGAACAATATACTGTATAATATAGTATGTATAATCCTGAATAAATCATTTTGTCATTGTGAATGGAATTCAATGTGCCGACCAAAACTACCCGATCAGACCTATTTTCCGAAAGCAGTTTCGGTTTCGATCGTAGTTTCGGCAGGTATGCCAAACGAAACCGTAACCAGTTTTTTGCCGAAAAACCGAATTTTCGGTCGTAAACTCACTTGACTCAATTTCCTTTTGTTGCATAAATATAAGCTTTTTTAGAGCTGGATACGAAGTAGATTTACTTATTAGTGTAACGCAAATAAATGAATTTATTCGTGAAAGTCACTTTCTGGGCTATTTTTAAATAAATAAAAACTGTCATGTGGAAAATGGAGCTAAACTTGTTTGCTTTTATTTAACCTCCTTAATTTCTGAAATTATCTAGTAGTACCTACTTCTAAAATTATGAAAAGAGAAAATGGTTCTTCACTAAATCAATAGTTTCTAAAATTTAATCTTTGTTACGTAACTCTTGGCGTGCGTGACCCCAGTCGGTCTTGGCAGGTTTTGGAGGCAGATTCATATTTTGGATGCGTATTTATACTAAAAATATCTACAAAATCAAAAGTTTACATCAGTAATTACAAACAAAATTTAATTATATACATAAATATGTACGAGACGAAGGGTGGAGTCTCCTTGTATCAGCCACCACCTAATATTAACCGTTTCGAGAAAATGGAACATAATTTTAGAATCAGTCTTAAATTTATAATTGTTTTATGCAAAAAGTAGCTCTGTATCCTTACGAATAACCTTCCATATCTTGGTGTGGTCACAACATTTGAACGTTCAGTTGATAATAAAGCGCGGGCAGATACAAACGTACGTCGTTTGGTGGCATTACCTATAGTAGAAGATCCGAACCTAAATCGATCTTCACCGGGTTGATAATGGAATAAAACTTATTATATAATTAATTTAGTATGTTAGAAAATATATTAAAAATGGGTTTGCTAAAAAAATCCTGGACAGAATATTTTTAATTATTTTTTAAAAAATATTTTTTTATTAAATGTTGCAACATCAAGATAATAAGATAAATTTAACTCTGACTTAAAGTATAAAACATATAGAATGTGCAGACGTTGGGTTGTCTATTATTTACCTGGACGAACTACTGGGTTGTCAGGTATAAACAGGTATATCGATGCCAGTTAATTTCACTTGATTTGATAATAAAAAAAAATTATATCAACATAAGCGCTGTTTCATTACGAACACATTGATATAGGGTTGTCTGCAAAAAATTCGGTCCTAATACGGGTTTGCGAATTTTAAAAATTAAAATTTTAACGCGTGGGAAATTGAGTGACAGAGAGATCCGAGGAAAGTATACCGTGTAATAGTAAAGGACCCAACATTGCAGTCGCATCTGATCGGACCCTATTAATTATATAATAAGTTTTATTCCATTATCAACCCGGTGAAGGTCGATTTAGGTTCGGATCTTAGACTACTAGTGAAATCCGTGAGTCGAATAGAATAGGATTTAATATATTCGAGTTATTTTACTTTGTTTTTGAAGAAAGAGTTAAAGTACTGTTTAGACGGCATATTTTTACGTTTTTAGTTTTTTTTTTTTTTGTAAATAATCGAGTGGCCGAGTTTAGGGATCTGTATTATAGACAAATCTCTTTAGCAGCTGATTGGGGAAATGAGTTAAAAACGTAAAATTCTAATGCTGCCCAAAATATATTTTTAACAGCTACGGCCGATATAAAGGGAATCGATGTGTAATTACGACCTCCTTAGTATTGTATATGTTCTTTCCTAGTAACTAGTACTAATATTGCATTGAACTTTTTACTTTTCGTTTAACTTTTTAAAAATTATAATTGCAATCCGTGTAACGTTAAGTTTTCGGTTGATTTTATTCGGTAATTATTTATAGTAATTTGTTCTTGATTATTATTAAGAATGTTGATTCATTGTGATCTTTATTATTTTGATTTCTTAGACAGAGACGTAAATAAGACTAATAAGAGTTTAAAATATTGATTGTTACCTGATTTGAAAATAGAAAGGGTTTATTTTTCCTTTTGCAGTTTTATTTACCTAACTTTGAAACAGTATGCCGATATCAGGGTCACATGCGGCGGTTGTTATGGTCGGTTTACTCGAAAAAAAAACATCGATATTATCAAAACTACATAACAAAGGATTCGTAATTTTGCGAATGTAAATAAAATTTAATTATCTCATTACTCAAAAAAGGCATTACAATAAATCCAAAGCTGTTAATATAATAATCACAAGCAGTCAAAGATCAAAGTTAACATGGCGACAAAGGTGCCTTCACCCTATATCCAAAGTGCCCTTGAAATACATATTTTTTTATTATTTCAATATGGGCCCTTTTATAATGAATTTATAAATAACACGTTTTAGTAATGAACGCTAATTAGACATGCTTGACTATATATATTTTAATATTTGTTGATGGCACCATTTACAACGATGTATAGTGTTTATAAATGGATGTGTTACTAAATAAAAGAATGATACATTCAATATAATATTTTTATTAACCGCGAAAATACTTTTCACAATTCTTCTAACATTCAAATCATAAGACTGAATGCCCCTCAATCACCAAAACAATAAATTTATTAATATTAATTAAATAAATGAAACTATATGGGCCTATTGAACGACATCTTATAATTAATAACAAATAAATTACACATTTAAATCATAGAAAAAGGCAAATATAAAATGTTGTTTAATAAGCCCGACTCACTGCTTTGCCTGTACAATGAACAATATTCTTAATTGTCAATGCGAAATTGATGAAATATAATGAATGAACAATATTTTTATTTTACACACTTAAATTGGTACAATTAATTTGCAATATCTTACATGCTTAACTCATATATGAGCTGCTACCACGATCACGAAAAATTATAATAATATCGTTAAACTTTCGCATATATTTGAATATGATAAATGATTCTTATCAAACTCATAAACATTGAGCTCTGTAATGGTGGTTAACATTCTAATATAATTTAACAACATTTATTCCTTTTATTGTTAATTAGAGAAACAAGGACAGATTGTGCCAATGTGGATTCGAGTTTCTTCTTTAAAAGCAGAACTTATATAATATTGCTATTATGCTATTATAGAGAATGGCATAATCTTCATTTCTCTAAAAATTGTTTGGCATACCTTCCGAAACTCAGAATCGTATAAGGCATATTATATAACTAATAAATAAAAAAGTGAAAACATCATTTTGCAGAAAATTCACAGTCAGAATCGTCTTTGGCATATATTTCAATGTTTATATATACTTACGATTGAGTGCCAATCGTTCTGCCGTTTAATTTTGGTTACAGTTCAAACATAACCTAACCTTTAAATAGATTTTTCAAAAATTAAATTTTGTCCGAGATAATTCTGCCATTATAAGAATACCATTGTAATTCGAATAAACAAACGTTCGACTAATCAATGATTATGCTAAAATTATTTTTATACTTAACTTTAAAGTATACATCTAGAGAAGATTATGCCAATTTACTGAATCGATTCAATGAGTCCGTTCAACAAAATGATGAACCGCAGAGCGATTCTGTAAAAATCTGAACCCGAAATTTGAATTCACTCATGCGTCCGAATTCACGTCATTTAGTGAAGATATTCTATTGATTTAATTTTTTTGTATGAAAAGAAAACCAAATTGACTGATTATAAGTCTCTCAGATATTCTATTCCAATATCATTTCGAAACTCATTTCACTTATGTCACGAAACGTTCATTACCAATTCATGATTGATCGGATGCCGCTTTTCGAAGTGAATTCAGACGCCTGAGTGAATTCGAGTTCGAGTTTGGATTTTGACATAATCGCATGGCTGATCCGAATCTCAAAGTTTGTTCCGAATGGATCAGTGGCGCTCATTGACATGAATGAACGAAAGCATGAACTGAGCAGAACTTAGCGACTGGTCGGATATATTCGGGCGACATCGAGTCGCGTGTCAAGAAATAAACGCACTTGTCGGCAAGCCAGCGCTAGATTTACTACTTTTACTTTATTGTCTTGGAATCATTCATTATGATCAAGGTTAAGAATGCAACAATTGATTTTGTTAATAAATTAGTAAATTGCATTAAGCGGGTGAATGCATTAGGTAATTTTTAAATATATTCGTATCATGATTAAGTAAGTACTTGTTCTCTGCTCTAGAATTTATCTGAGAATCGATGATGCAATTGAGGCACATGATCCAAATGAAGCATTAATTGATTCGGATCTTTGCACTTATTCAGATGCAAATGATCCAATCTTTAGAAAGATGCGTTATTCGCAGTACTAATGCCAAATAAGTTTCGGTGAATCGCGCCAGATAGAAAAAACGCTATGAATTCATAATACTATAAGTAATGCAACTTTACGTTACCTACTTATATAATTATTATGCTCATATAAACAAAGCATTATTGTATTTTGCGTTATATTTTTATTGCAATAAAGACTTATTCTTAAAATATAAAATTAATTTAAACTCTTGTTTCATTTCATAAATATATTTAATTTTAATAAAATATTTTTAATACGACAAAATCAAAAATAATAATTTTTAGAATTATGTATTTTTTATTTTTATGATAACAAGTTAATTTAATTTTTAACCGCTTTAATGATTCTAAGCATTTATGTTTGGTAGGTATCAAGATCATAAAATTTTAGGTCATGATAGGAGTAGGTAGATTTATTTTTATACTTCAAGAACATGGATATGACATAATTTTACGGAAAGTTTTTTCTTTTGATAGTATAAGTAGAATGTTGAATAACATTGCCACTTATTCATAATCGATAGGAAGGTATCAAAACTATTATTTTTTTTTCTGGACCAATATTGAATAACATTGATTACAGATATGATTATTTCTAAAAGAAATAGCTTGTAATGGGCTTTTTCTTTTTCTGGTTTTAAAATAAAATAGTTTTTAATTTTGATCATTTTATCTCATTTGTCTTTGCTACAATTATTATTCATATTTTACCTTATTTCCGAGAAATAAATAATTATTATTTAAAAATTCTGAAGGAATGTCCATATTGTATATGCGTGACATGACAGATCTTTATTCTACCTACTCCGATAATAATTGGTCATCGTAATTACCGTGTAATAGCTTTTCACGTGAAATTGGCAGAATTGTGCGAAACGCGCAGATAAGCCATCAATAAAAGAAGAAGAAGAATTTAAAGTCAACGTATTTCGGTGATCGCGTGGTGACCCCATAAAAAAGTGATATAATTTTAATTTGATAGTTAATGTGCTATGAATAATCGCTAAATTGATTTTCTATCTAAATAACATTAATGGCGAGAGCTCTAGTGGCAATAAAACTCATTTTAATAGACATAAAAGGAAGAGCACAGTAATATAGGCTGTGTTCTTACCAAATTGATTATCAGCCGCCGACTGTGAACGAGCGTTGCGCAGGTGATTGCATTTTCATACATTCATAATCATCTTTTCATTCAAATCACTACAGTACAGGCAGCGGCTGTTCTTCGTTTGCTGTAAACATACGCTTGGTTCTAAGGGTCATTACAGACGAGTGATAGACAATGACTTTTATCTCGATCCGTTTTTATACCGCATCAACACGCAATAATATCCAACTTTGTTTGTGCATGCTGCAGTAGCAACGGCATGTAAGATTATTCAATGCTGTCAAGACATTATTGTGAAATTGGTGACCGAACGCGTTGCAGAATTGAAATGAAATTTATTATAATCTAACAGGTTTTGTCAATTTCACGGTATTAGATCAGTCTAATGACAGTTGTTTCTACCTCGGCTTTTCGTTAGAAGGTCCATTAGAACTAAAAAGGAGTGCTGAAAGTTACCCTAGAATGGAAACCATGATAACAAAATTTTATAATGTGTAAACATCTATGAAATGCTAGCATTGGCTTAGTGTTAATATTTTTTAAACAATAACGGCTCTTTATCATAGTTACAGTAAACAGTACCATACGATTAGCAACTTTATGTTTAATAGATAAAAACCCTGACAAAAGTTTAAAACTCGTGCTTCTAGTAAATAATAATAATAATAAAAGACGAAGTCATAAATTATGTAAAATATCTAATGAGTAAGTATATGTTTAATTCTGTACTAATAAGTAAAATATATTAAGAGTCAACTCAGACCAAAAAAAAATTTTTTTTAATACATACTCATAATACTTTTCTAACGCTTTCGTTATTCTTATGCCATTGGTAAAATATAAGCACATACCAGTGCAAATTGAAATTATAATATCCTGTAACGACGTTAAATTATCATATCTAATCCATTGAGATAGGACTAAAAATAGTATTGCTTTAGCTTTATATTAATAATAATTTGAGTGGATTTTTTTGGATTTCCTTAATCTATCAACTTTTCTAACATTATTTTCTGCAAGACCTTGTGTTTTGTAAATGTGTCTAAGCACAATATGTAACTTAACATTGTTTTATAATCTGAAACAAGCTTGTATTATAGGTTAATCAATTATAGCACCTTTACTTACACCCATTTTCACTAACCCAGAACAAGGCATAGCTTAACTAGGAAACGCCTAATATTAGGAATCGCCTAAGAAGATTAGTTTAATTGCGAATAATTTTTTTTATCCCTTGACATAAATGCACATGCCAAGCGCAAGGCGCCGCATAAAGGATATCATTAGCCATTGTTTAATTTCCTTTCGATTTTTTTACCATCTTTACCTTAAGCGATTCCTAAATATTTTGGCAGCAGATTTGGGCAACTCCTAAGTTTAGTGAACACGGGCATTAGCGTGATAAAATATTACTCGATGTTCTGAGGTCTGAGTTGATTCAAATGCCTATATTAAGGTAAGGTAAATATATTTAAAAAAAATCATAACTCATACCTATCTTCTTTTAAAAAAACTGCTACTAACATAACATACATTATTTGTAGTGCTAAAGTAGAGTGATTACCACTCATATACTCCATTATAGTATTAATTTAGACAATTTTATCAACTATTTACATAATATTTATTAAAATGCGTATTTTTGGATAGTTAATATAAAATTACTGTTAATGTACCCGTGGTATATGCTGTCTATATAATTATGAATTTATTAATGAACACATTTGGATCTATAAATTTATATAATCACCCGAGTTTAGGAAGCGCCCTACACTAATATGAATACATTTTTAGGTGTGTTAAATTCTAAGTTAACTAGGAATTGGATAATAACTTTAATGGTAGTGATGTTAAGGTATAATTTTGATTTAAGCTGTATACAATTAGTATGTCTGCTATTATTGTATGTAAAATTACTGAGATATGCCAACTATTTTAGGGTACCCGTCACGAATGTAAAAGGAAAATGCGGGATTTTTACGTAGATATTATATTATATGGATGTTATCAAAGTTTGGGAAATGTACTTATTTTGTCATGTGACAGCTGGTGACGTCACTGAATAAAAATATCCTTACGATAACCTTTTTTTTGTGCTTACAGTAATACCTTCGATTGCTGCTATATATTGATTATCAGTTCTAAAAAGCAAATTATTTTAAAATGTGAAGTCAATCCTTCACATTTTTAAATTCAGCAGAACAGGAGTCATCATTTGTTGTGAAGAAATTGGCCACTGTTAAACAGACAATTCTTGGCAAATCCTATTGTTAGAAAATTTTATTTGAATACAATTAAAGAATGATCAACCAAATTGCAACAAATTTACGAAATATCATATTGCAGATTATTAATAAATACACCAACTACGACGTCATCTTTGACGTCAACAGAAATTACAAACAGTGACGTCATGAAATATGATTACTGTTTTTGTCGTTTTATTTTATTGAAATCTAAACTTTTGTAATAAACTAAAACAACAACCGCCCGACTTAAATATAAGTTTGTTGATTATATTACTTAGGTATTTTGGGAAGTCTGATTTTAATTTTTCGGCGAAGTGTCTACTTTCGTTCCAAGTACTAAAGTATAAAATGTGTATGAAAAAATAAGAAGAAACAAATACAGCCAGTTGCACAAACGTCCATTTAATTTCTCATTAGCTTAAAGTGACATTACCCACACAAATTTGACATTCATTAAAGGCATAATTAAACCTTAATAGACGTTTATGCAAATGACTGTAAGAGAATAATCATATAAATAGAAAAAAGGTGCCGGTAATTAATTTTAAACTGACAAATCATAAAAATTGCCGGAGTAAAAATACTACATACTTTTATCTAGACATTATATGTATATATTTTGTAATATATACATTTTATAGTTTTGTACAGTTAGTAATATTACATTTAAATAATTAAATAATAGAAAATTGCTTACATTGTGTCTAACATAATCTGTTTTTAAAATAAATGTTTTTGATTTCAACTCATCAGACATGAAGCAATAGTAAAAACACAAGTATAATTTTAATAATTTTAGAGACTACAAAACATTTCACATTAAAAAAGCTAGTGATTCAACGAATACTACTTAAACCAATACGAATATCAGTTCAATTGTTGTTGGATTATTCTTATTCGCAAAGCGACTACAAAATATACCTGTAACTGACTTAAGAAAAAATAGTTAAAAAAGCAGAACTTTGTAGTGTGTCTCAAACACTTTGACATTTGTCACAGGATCATTTCTTAAAATGTTAAACTGATTATACGAATAAATATTGTGTAGAGGCGTTCCGAAAAAAAAAACAGCAGTCAAACCATAATTTGTGTTACGTTCATTTTAATTACACCATTTTAAATGTTTCTGATGGCGTTTAGTAAATATCTACTATATCAGTAAATACGAATATCCGTATTCGTTAGATCACTACTTACATACCTAAATACCATTGGTCTATAAGTACTTTTCAAACTAATCTCAGGTTCATTTGAGTGAAATATAGTTTAATACTAGAACATAAGTTCATTTAATATGTATTTATATAGAAAGTCAGTTAATTTTTCAGAAGTTCACGTAACTAGCGAACTAGGTAAAGATTAAAACATTTTTCGGTTTTGTGTACGATGCAATTACAATAGTTTTAATTATCTACCTATCGTATTATACTAAATAAAAATAATCTTTGAAATATTTTTTTTAATATGCATCATGGATCAGTTAGATGATCTTACCAGGGCTTGAATTTTGAAACTCAGTTCGAAATTCTGTTAGATAATAATTTTTATTTCTCACTGAGGTAGAATTTATCGCGAAATCTAGTCGTACTTTTTCTAAAATTTAAGCAAAAAAATTATAACATGTGAACATTTGACTTAACATGTGAGCATGTATAAGAACGCGCAGCGTCTATTGTCCGAGTTTCGGCCGCTTTAAAGGCATTAATATAACATTTATGTCATTGAAAGAAGTCTAACATTTCCATAAGTGTTTTTACTGAATACACCATTAATAAATTAAGTAATAATATAATCTATATAATGTGTAAGACTATGCGCGCACTGGCAATGTTTGGTCATCTTTGATTTTGCGTCTGTCACTGTGTTTTTGTAATTTGTATGGAAGTCACATAATTATCAAGCTCTTAAGTGTGCGTGCCACCGTAAATATTCTGTTACGGTGACATGACACAAAGCCACTGGACAGAAAATAATCAGTGAGCGCGTAGCCAAATAGGTAGGGTAAAAATACTTAGGGCAAAACGCATAATGACCCATAGTATTATGTGAGCGTCGAAACTAAAGAATACGTATACTGGGTGAGGTCAGCGAGCTATAGCGTAACGCAGTACTTAGCGGAAACAATACAAGTTCTATGGTTAACGATACATATCGCTTTATTTTGACGCTTACATTTTGTATCATTGACAAGATTTTCGCACGACCTAAAAACAGACTACTGTAATACAGTCCATAGCAAATTTGTACAAAACTAACAAAATTCTACAATCCATTTTATTTTCGTAATATATACCTTAATGCGTGCAAAATTCAGTTTGAAATTGTTGTAAGAAATTTGACATTTTGAGGTAACTTACTGTAGGTACAAACAATGATACGGATCATTATATTCCAAAATAACTATTACACAGTCACACACCGCTTAAACGGTGTTTATGATAAGAATGCGTATGAATTATTTATGCGGTATAATGATAGCATTATAAGTACTTGAATAATATTCAATTACCGTTTGAATTAGTACATTATACATAATATTATAGGATAATTTCGTAATGCAGACTACTTAAAAGACATGTCTAGGTGTACAAGTATTTGATAACATTGTTTGTGGAAACTATGTCATTTCATCCACGTGGCTACGATTTATCAGGTCATTGACCCTATTATTAAAATGTCAAAATGTATTATGTTTCCTCATATCAGTATAATTACGGTGGCTATCACAATATTTGTTGAGATAAACAATACGTAGGTATATGTATGAATATAGAATTGTACTTACGAACAAATAACAGTATATTCTCGTTTAAATAAGGAATATATTTGAATAGGTCAACTCGAGGCTTTCCATATTTTTTGTGTTTTTAATTTATTATTCATAAGAGTATATTTATATATGATTTTATTAAAATATCCTTAAATTAAGATACAGACTCAAAAAACTGATACCACACACACTAAACAATATAATCAAACTAATTTGTCTTAAAGACGAAATTCGTATAACACAAATTAAACATAGTATCAAAGTCAACAACTTTTCACTTTAATTTGGTATTCACCGTCTTATTGCTACAAAATCTTTTATTGTAACTTGATATTTTTAAAATGTATTGTATTTCAACTTACTATGTCCTATTATAGTAGCTGCTAATCAGCAAGTTGGATATCGCAGCAAGATTACGCTTAAGTATTTAATTTTGCACCACTGATGCAGAGGTTAAGCCCTCTACACACGTTCCCATGAGGAGATTCGATATTATTGAAAAAAAAAAAATCAAATTGAAAGTATATGTAGCGGATATTAATACAGAATTTATAAATAATATGATTTTTTTATGTCTATATCTCGTAGATGGTGATTTATTTTTCGTTTGATTAGTTAAAATCAGGAACACACGACGTATTCATAATTATTTCTAAAACAATATTGTACAGTTAGGTAACAAGAGTTATCAAATAAATTATCTGGACCACTTGATAGATTATTTCAAAGAACAATCGTTACTATCAGTAAAGTGTTTTTAATTTCTGCGTACGAAAGGAAACTAATTATTTTCCACAGGAAAAATATTTTTAATGTACACAAAGGAATAGTATTAAAATCTTATAAACGATCGCGTGTTTTGTGTAATTTATAAAGTAGTTATTAAAAAAAATATTCACTACACTCGATCAAGCGTTCATGTTGTAACGTGTGCCTAGTCATCCCGGTTGAATCCAGTTGGCTGTCAGACGGCTAACTCTCCTTCCACCATCGGCGATTGGAGCAGGGAACTAAAACAATATTTTTATAATTCACTACAAACCTATAATTATAAATTTTATTATAAGTGTATTAGCATGTGAATTGTCAAGAAAATAATTTCGAAACAAATCAATCTCATAAATTTGGTCCTTCGAGCCGGATATTTTTATGAGCTTTTCTCTACGTTATTCAGCAGCTACTGGACCCAATCTCTAAAGCGGCCAATTCCCATGTAACTAACCTTGATTGTTGCCCGTTGCCAGAATTCGAGCAGATCGACTCTGTTCTCGAACCCATGTTGCGCTGTCGGCACAAATATGGCGTGACTGCCGGCGATGGTGTATTACGCTCCTGTAAGTGAAATAAATATGATGTAACATATAACAAAATTTTCACCGTGAATGAAATGAAATAAAAACACGAGCAAATTAAGAGTTATCTCAAGCACTAATAAGACTAGCGTGTCTTGAACACTTGGTTACGTGGTGTTATAAAATATGATTGTTATATCAGAAACATTATGTACTAACAACAAAGAAAATTGCTACAAAATAGTGATTCATAAAATGATATATGTGAGATATTACATTCATTCATAACATGATTCCCAATTACTAACACAAGTCGAATGTTACTGCGCTACGTAGTTAGTACATACATAAATTCATTGTTCAGTAAAGCAAGGTAAATAAACAGTTTACTTGAAAGAGGTTAGAAAGCAAACTAATTATAGCTTCCATGAAAAGCATTTGTTGTATGCCATATAATTTAATTTGCATTATAATATTAAATTCGACAATGAAATGGAATTGCTGATTTGTGGCGCAGTAAGATACGGCTACAAACTATCAATGTCAACGTACACTCTTTGTGCTACTTTGCACGTACTAATTTACAATTCAAAGTACAAATAATAATTATATGTTTTTTACCTTTGAAATGTATTTCTTTGTAATTCGCTTATATCTGAAGTGGGCAATTTTCATAGCGAACAAAGGTTAGATCAATTTCTGGAACCTTCATGAAAAGTGCACCATTAACTTATCAATACCGATCGTATTGAAATGGGCTTTTGAAATGTCAACATTATAATAACGTTGCCTTTTTTCCTTCACCCATATTTCATATGACTTATTCTCATATCTTTGAGACTTTATACGTTATTCAAATTAACGAAGCCATTGTTGACGGAAATTGACTAAAGAAATAATTATGTATACAATTTGATTTAATGAGATATAAATGCTTATTGTGACGTTTCCCGGGACATATAATATATGCATAATAAAATATCTAATGCCACGTCAGTAATATAAAAAAATATATCATAATAACACAATATAATCCTTGTTCTATTACATCGAAATTTCGCTGCAATAAATATTATTACATAGATTTTTTGATTTAAAACTAAGTAGCTACAGCACATGTATTATGCACCAACACCATACCCAAAATACTATAAAAAAGTTATTTTCTTAAGTCGACTCAAACGTGTATCTAATCCGGGAGGCGGGACCTCGGGATTCGCCTATGGAGGTCGTCTATACTTACAAATATCTTTATTAAGACCATATTAGTCCTTCAACAGTTAAGTCAAAACTATATTTTTTCCAACGTTAGCTTTTCATGGAAAATAAACCTATTATCCTATTATTCTTTCCAGACATCTTAGTTATGAAACTATGGTTAAAGCGAAATTGATCCCAGTGAAATGTATGAATAAATTTCCGTATTACGAATAAAACATTATTAGTGTTGTGTGATATCTTACTGTGGAGCTAAATTACAATTAAGAAGTTACATTATACCACGAGTTTTAGTATGAGACCGCCAAATTAAATTACTGAGTCAAACAATAATCATTATCGTTTCACTGTGTTAAGTCTAGGCCAACCCCAATAAAACGTATATGAAATCACAAAACAACAAAAGACAGAAAATAAACATTTTACTATTTAAATAACATTACAGATAATTTGTACATAAAACATTAATATACACGGTATAAAACTAAATACGTCATGATTTTATTCATAATATAAATATCACCATGATTTTTTACAATACAAAATGCTATGTTAGTTGTCTTTTAAGAGTCGATCAATCTTGAATGTCTTGGAGGTGGGCAAGTTGTCTTGTACTTATCGGTTTGTCCAAACTCAAACTTATCTGCTTGAAAAAGATTTATCGAACCCTTATCGATTCTAAACTGTAAAACTGTAATCGAAAGATAAACAAAACACTACTGAGAGAAAAAATAAATGAAAATAATCATTGAAGAGGTCCGATTTTAATGAATTGTATATGTACTAATAATAAATAGCAAACTGTAGTGTCTGTACATGGTCACGAGGATTTTTTAATTATTTGATTACAAAAAATTTTAGGAAAAAAGTAGTTTGAGGTACTTATTGTTTTTTTTACATTATGCTACAATTAAGTGCTTAAGTATTTTTACCATTCCATGTATGTGTATGTAATTACAAAGTATGGAATATTCGATCAACAATTATAACCACATAAGTAAAACAATGTATTAATATTAACTTTTCAATGGACTTTCTTAAGGACATTACAAAGTTGATTTTGAATGGAAACAGGTACTTATAATGTAATAACAGAAAGAGGACACTCTGAATGAAACAATGTAAATAAGATTTATAAGTATCAGTACTTTAGTGAGGCAGTAATCAACGATTATTATTGCATATTATTACTGCAAATTAATTTGAAGTGGTATAGAGACATAATAAGTTTGGATTACGATTTATCGTACCTTTAACATTTTTAATATGCAACTAATAAGGTATTTCTGTGGAGGATCAACATTTGGATAAATGGATCTTATATATAAAATAACAATTACTTATATTTTATAGAAAGATTTATATAAATATTGAAACAAAATTTTCTATCAAATAGATGGTTGCGGTCTTTCGTATATATTTTTTATACTATACAACTAAGTATAGTGACACAAGGTAAGTTTACAATATGTGAACAATTTTTTCCCCTAGGGTTTAGTATAATTTTGAAATGTCATATTATTATTAGTAAGTAAATATAGATAAATTAACTATGTTTCCATGTTTATTTTATATAGTCCTAAACGAACGGTAGGGATATTGACAAAAATGGATTATCATACTACGGTTAGGTCTTAGGGATATAGTAAGTAGCAAAGTGTATATAGATATCGTTTTTCTTTGTCTCCGATGTTAATTTATAAAAAAGAGTGAACAAAAGATAAATATGGTCTAGGAAACGTAACGAACTCAATATTAAAATTTGCATTGGATATTTTTTTCTGTATAGGTGCCAAGTTGTTATTCGAAATATTCAATACTTTAATATATATAAATTTATACTTAACATAATTAAATTAAATAAGTACAGCAAAAATAATATTAAGATAAATAACAATAATTAAATTTACTAGTTACGTATTTAGAAATTAGATATATATAATAATTGATATCACAAAAATAAAGAGCAGATTTAAATACATAATTCAAATATTTATTTAAAACATTTGGATAATTCAATATTCCTATTCGAAACGACAGCAAACTCAATATTATATTATTAGTTCAATGTCATGTTTAACAACAAAAAAAAATTCGTTAAGTTCGAGTAGTGTAGTTAAAAGGTGGATTCGTAGGTTATCCGACTTCTATAATAAGTTATGAACCTTAACTAGGTGACTGTTAAGATTCAAAACAAATGCCACATGATTTCAAAATGTATAAAACAATATGTATATTTATATATGTTTCTAGAATATAGGAATCGTTATTAACTGATGTCAGATTTATTTGAGTAAATTTTAGTGCAGGATTTTTTTTTTTTATAGAGTTTGCGTAATATCAACTAAAATGATATACAGTGTTTAAAGTTACTATTTACTCATTATCTGATTAGAATCTATTTATTTTTGACTTGTTATTTTATCGAAAAAGTCATATTTAAGATTTTTATATCATGGTTTGCAAATAGTGAAAAAAATGAATTTCAAACAAATTTGTAACATCTATGAAATGGTAAATAAATCTCTGAGAGTAGAACAATTGTACTGAAGAGAGTCCCATGACTAAAAAAAAATTATTTCTCTATCCATTATTACTTTTTCTTCATAAACAAAGCTGAACCAGCTTGCTGTAGTCCGTAATTATAATAGATTTTTACTAATTATTTGATAATAATTGAGATAAAAATCTTTTAAGTTAGACCAAATTACGGATAGGTGGAAATTTGATTAAAATCACTTCAGTAGTTACGGAGTTTATCAATAATATATATCGTGACAAGAGATTGTTTGTATATAAGATAAGATGTATGATAAACATAAATAAATTAATGATTTCGCTACTATACAGGCATGTAAGTTTGATGTCGTTTCGAACGTTGTACCGGCGTGTTGTCTCTAACCTGTTGGTTGGGGCCGCAACACGTTGCGTTGTGACACAAGTCGTTGGGCGGACAGTGTAACGCGCACGGCGCCTCTGCGGACGCACCGCTCGTTATCTGCGCAACAAACATGTATTATTATCAGGGTTCACAAAAATCCGATACATATCGGATGTATATCATGTATATGAAAACTTGCAATTTTATAAACTACTGGTGGTTTTTTTTTTAATGTTTGACCTCTTAAATAAAGATTGAGTTTGGATTTATTTTATAATCCTTATAGGGGATTCTATAAGGGGATTCCTAGTTACGTATAGGGGGACCCGACTTATTACTTACTTACTATAATAAAAAATAATACGTGAAAATAGCCATTAAATTTGTTTGGAAAGCGTGTTCAGTCTACAGTGCGGAAGCTAAGCAACTCTCGCAATGGCTGAAGATAGGATGAGTAGTCAAAAATTTATCTTCACGTTAAACCGTTGGTTCTGGCTGCATCCGCAGTCGTTAACAGCCACCAATCGCAATGCGAACATGGTGGAGCATCTTTCTTAAAGAGATGGAAAACAAGCAAACGATGTAAGAAAAGTGGCCACTCTCTATAGCTATACTTTTCAAAATTTCTACCAGATCGATATCTGAATCTGAACGTCTTCTGTCGAAAAAAGACTTAAAGATATAATTGTAAGACTTTAATAATGTAAGATATGCATTCACATCACAAAACGGGGAAAAGGTCAAGTCGCAATTGACAAAGAACGAATTGGTTTCTATAAATAGTATTTATTTCCCTATACAACTAAACTATTTCATTTTCTTGTTAGATACGCTTCCTCATTGAAAAGTTCGTTATTCACAACAAAAACCTTAATAAGAAAAACTCTCTTTGTGTACCTATCGAGAATTTTGAACGGGTAACACTCTTTAGACGACAACACTAGTTTTTTCTTTGAACTTGTATTAACGGCCGTAAAACGGTTCATGACGCAAATGAAACGTTTAAACGCAACGTTAACAAAAAACTATCGTTTCCTTGAGAACGTAGTTTGGCGCCGTAACGTCAGTCAAATATTTTTGCCAAGCTTTTCACTATATTAACTTGAATAAAGACTATTTTGATTTGTTTTATCAAAAGACTCGTACTAGTTTGTGAAATCAGAGAGATTAGAAATACCGTTATGACAACGGGAAGACTTAACGTCCCATTTATTATTATATATTTTACTAGCTTTCCGCCAGCGACTTTGCCCGCGTGGTCTTGTATTATACACAAAAACCTTTCTGCTGAATCACCCTATCTATGAAAAACAAACCGCATCGAAATCCATTGCGTAGTTTCAAAGATTTAAGCATACATAGGATAGGATAGGATAGGATAGGATATAGGGACAGAGAAAGCGACTTTGTTTTATACAATGTAGTGAAGTAGACATTGGTGCTGTAAAATGTAAATTTGAAATTTATACTGCTTAGTAACGTGAACTTGACTATTGTAATTTGTTAGTCCGTTTTGGAGTTATATAATCAAAATGGATGTTTGAAAGAAATAAGCTTTAAGAGGCACACACACGAAAAATGAGTATCTTTCAATTGGATGTGTACCAAGTCATCTCTTCCTATATATCTTATTTGATACCGCAATGATAGATACAATCTTTTGTCTTAACGCCCTGTTTTATAAAGCAGTAGTAAGTTAATAGAAAAAAATAATAATAAGCCAATTGGGAATAAACAATTTCCAATAGTATTTGGCAAGATACGATAGTTGAAAAAGTGAGGTTTTCTCTACCGACTCATTGTTTAATTGTGAAATAAGCTAATTGAGAACAGACCATTTTCCAATAGTTTTTGGCAGGATACGATAGAGAGTTGAAATGATGAGTTTTTGTTTACTGACTAGTGTGACAACGCTAGAAGCGACTCCTAATTTTTACCTCGCTCCCGCCCAGGGGCAGTTCCACAAACTCCGGCTGTATTGTAGTGGAATGGATGCCCTCATTATGGAAGAACTCTTTCACCTTCTCAGCTATTTTCATGTACTCTGACAAGTTTCTACATCTGTAACAATAAATTATATTTTAATTTTTACAGCTAAGCTGGATTTGTGGAACGTCACGATTCAATGCTCGTTAACTGTCTAGATCTAAGAGCTAGAGACAGAGAGAAAGGAACTAGTGTTCCAATTTGATGATGTTCATATTATTTCATAATATTGTAATAGCTTTGTAATGTACTTCATACCATCCACACCGTTACACTTTTTCCTAGGCAGGTACATTTAAACTTTTTTGTTGCTGATCTATAATGTCTTAATTCATTTAGATTCTCAATTCGTCTGGATTCGTAAACTGTATATTTATATTTTACAAAATACAATTATAAAAGTGAAATAAACTTGTGTGTAAAAAAGTGTATAGTGATCGATTGATGTCATGGCTGTGAATTATCAAGCCCGTGAAAGAGGAAAGAAATTTGTTTTTTTTGTGTTAACGACAATTTTACCAACAATAGGGAATATGCGTCTGATTAAAAAAAGGGTTAAATATATATTTTTAATCATTATTCCTTTATGTAAACATTATACAACATTAATACGTTATCGACTGGAAATAAATTATTAAACAGTGCAAAAAATGCGGTAAATTCAAAATACTTAAATGAAATGTTATTTGTTAGAGCGGATGTGACGAAAATAAAGAGATGTCGTTGTTATAAAAAGTTAACATCAAAGTATATGTCGCAAAATAAACAACAGATTAAAATTTAAGTGATGTTTTAGGCTGAAAAGGCCGGAAGCATACATCTCGCTGAAAGAGCAGTCCCACAACGTGATAGGATCAAATCATCTCCATTGGTGTTAAAACCAAGGAAAGGGAAAGCAATTTTTTCGTTTTTACTTAAGTATTATGTATTTTTTCAACTATTTGACCTACATAAATTATTGGGACGCAAAACATTATACATTTTTTTTTAATATTGGCATTTGGCAGGGTTCCTAAACCTATCACTAAGTTATATAAATTAAATTTTCGTTGCTATAAGTTCCTGGTAGATTTGTCCTAAATAAAATAAGAAAATATTTATGATAATTCTCATAATTCGTTTTCATGAAACGAATAAAAAATATAAACGGTCCGTTCGTATTAAGGTCAGACAGAATTTAGCATGACGATTATTATAGCAAGACAATTTCAAAATCCCTGTTATTGTATTATATCTCGCCACCGTCGTACCGATTTGTGCAGTTCCGATATTAATAACATTATTAAGTTACCGAATCGAATATACTCGATATTTGATATTGGTTTTCAGATGTTCCCACGTATAACAGTATAACAAGTTCTCAAACAATAAACACGTAACTACCCGTATATCATTGAGTGTTATTACAACGCAAACGGTAAATAAACACTTTAAAATAAATTTGTTTTAATATGACGCTCCAATATATTCATAAACAATCGACTTATTACAGTCGTTCGTTTCTTGTTTTACGTGCCAAGCATAATAATTGTTTTATTTAAAGTATCTTAGCTATAAATATACGTATAAGACATAAGATACTAGAATATAATCTAAGTATATTAAATGAAAATGTTAAGATAATTGTGATTTTTATCTGTAGCATTATTATAAAGATGTAATATTCGTTAGGGTTTTTATAATCAATCGGCTCCGAAAGTACTGGCCGACTTTTGAAAATTCTATCACCTATGGGAAGCCACATTATACATGGGCGACGTAATTGTTTCATATTGATTCAATGATTTTATGTTCGTTAATCAATTACGTTCAAATCAAAAAGATTATACCTTCAAATTACCTTATTAAACTTAATGCCTTAATAATAAAATTATCACTGTCTATCTTTAAGGATTTCGCATTTTCAACTAAGTTTGATATGTAAAACGAGGCCATCGTTGTTGAGTTTACAATAAGTAATTAATGTTATTATATATGCTTATTTAAGATGAATTTTAAATTTTTTTGTGGTCCTATCAATAAACGAAAAAAAAAAGAAAAAATTATAGGCTATAATGTAAACGGGCGCGATCGCGGGAAAACATCTACATAAAACATTTAAAATATAAAAAATTAAAAAATGTGTATGTACTATAGTACAGCAGGCCAACTCTGCTAATGTTTATGTAATAATAGCATCTCAATAAAACCTCAATGACTTACTTGCATTTTATCGTTGTACTATCTACCTTTAGTACAATATTATAAGTGCAATGTCTTTTTTATACATCTATGGTGACAGATATATGTATTTATTGAAATTCAGGTAAATAGTACAAATGCAAAGTTCAAGTAATCGAGATTCTATTGAGATGCGATTGTTACGTTAATGTTAACAGAATCGGCCTGAAGATATACACCTATTTACTCAAAATTTACGGGAATAAAAAAAATGTGTGTCAAAAAACATGTAAATCTATAAAAAATACAAACAGGGATAACAGGAAGGACGGAGCGGAAATCACCTTTATACTATTTTGGCTTAATACAAATCCAACCAAAGGCAACCTTACTACTTTGATCTTGACGAAGGTAAAACGCCATATTACGACCCCAGCATTTAGGACCTAGGGCCAAAGGGATGGCCAGATTGACGTTGAAGAGGGGGCAGGTTGCAAGGGATGGCGCACGCTAAGTTTTTGTTACTAAACATTTTATGAGATCTTTCCCTTTTTTTTACGCAACTCACCAGTTGTGATCAAGTTTGGGAAATACTGGGCTAAAGTATTACAAATATATCCCAATATTGGAAAATTTTATTAATCGGGTCGGAAGCCGATCAACTTTGGGAACCGCTGGTGTAGGGACCGTGCCTTATAGTGCTCGATCCTCAGAGATCTTAATTTATACAGCGGAAAAAAATAATATAACCATGGTGCTGAATCTTATATTGTGCTACTCTACAACCATTAGGAATGGAACCAAGGCCGTACTTACTGCCGTATCGATAATACGGGGCCCTAGGTTACAGGGGCCCCTGAGGTGAATAAGTAAAAATGTTCATTCTTCATTTGGGCCTGCAACTAATGTTTTTTTATGTCAGACAAAGTAATGGTACTGTATCACGTTACTAATATCTAAAGCACGTTACGCCACTGAGTGGTACAACGCTAGTAAGAAACCGCGGAGCATAGCTAGTAGTTGATATAATGGAAGGTGTTCGGTAGGGAACAGAGCGAATGGGGTCGGGATATTTGTGTGACGCGTGCGCCCCCGCAGACATTGTTGATTCGCAACGAAATCTAGTAGTGACTGATGAATAATGTCTGATTATTGTTTTTTTATGTCAGACAAGGTAATAAAACGTGATAAAGAAACGAAATCTTTCCGTAGATAAGTTTAATGAACGTTGTGAATCACATCAAATTGACATTACTTTTAGTAAGAATTTGCCGAACGTTTCTCTAGAAATATTGCACTTTAATCAAATATTATGAAATAAAGTTGTAATGGCCGTTTGATCTCGGAAAAATATAATAGAAGTGGGAAATTTAAAACTTTTATTTTATGCTATTAGATTACAAAAATATATAAATAAGTACGTTCTTTTTAGTATATATTAATCGAAAGACAAGACATACCACTTTTAAGGTAGACAAACAAAAACATTTAATAAATAAAAACTAATCAAATATCCATATAGGCAAAGAAAATTATTTAATAAAAAGAAATACAGTTTCACATCACTTGGAACGCTAATGCTATCTACTGACAGTCAGACAGTTAAAGAAAATGCATAAAATGTAACTTAACTCTGTTAAGGATATGCTTCACAACTAATTTCTGGATTTGTTATTTTTTCTTGAATTTTATTATGTATATTAGACTGGAGTTGGACAAGAACATCTTAGATCTATCAGAACCAGAACAATAAAACACAGTAAGTACGTGAATATTAATCTCTTTATAGCTGACTGGAATTGGAAGCGTCCAGTGATCTGGTTCATTGACCTCTGCTTCTGGGACAAAGAATTGTTTGCATTGGTAGCTTGCCAAAACCAATTTATTTGTGAAACACTTCTTTTTTTAATCAATCCGCAGTAAGAAGTTTATTATCATGTTGGTTTGAATATACAAGAAACAAAGTCTTGTTGATGATCATATCAAACCAGCATCAGATTTACTAAAAGTGTTATTTAATAAAGGCATAACATACTTTTAATAGTTAATTTAAATTGTTCCGTGAAAACAATCAGTCACGACGATGACGTCTCATTTCATCAAAGATTATTTATTACCTACTGGTTACACTCGCAACAAAGACTTTCAGCCAGTTGCACAAATGTCCATTAAAATTTTCGTTATTTTAAAGCGACATTACCCATACAAATTTGACATTCATTAGAGTTCAAAGGCGTCCTTAAACCCTAATGGACATTTGTGCTACTGACCGTATGACGTTAACATCATTCATTGTAATGTGACATCATACGATGCTCCTACAGGGCCGCCCGAGTTTCTGTTCTTGTGATTCACAGATGTGGGTCCCAATATTTTGCATTGACAATTCTTAAGTTATTTGTAAACAAAGTCCAGTACCTCTTCTGAAGCCATACTTATGAAGAAGCTGAATATTATTCCGCTCCAGAAATGAAACACATTCCGTTTCATTTAAGAAATGTTTGCTCGTTTTTTTGACGAGACGTTAGGTTAGTTTTCATGCATCATATTGGCACATACATTTTTAATAGGCATTGCAAATCTTTTGAGGCAAAAGAAGGGGTTGTATTATCTTACAGAGTGTTTTTTTGGTACTTTCATAAGCTTCCTAGCTTTATTTTTTTTATTTTATTTGTTTACCATAACTAATTTCATTAAAGAATTGAAGTAGAGGACGACATGAACACTTCTTACTTCCATTTGATCCTACTTTTGATATTTCAATAGCAATAGTTTATGTTATGAATTTAATTGGTCTACTTTGTCACGAAGCCAGTTAATAATTGACATCTGTTACAACGCACCCTGTGTTATCAATATCATAGATGGTTTTATATTATTGGAGCATGTCACCATGAAAATTGTTGACGCGCTTGGACGTCACTGGCCTTAAAATATTTTTTCTTTTAAATATAGTGAATCTTCTAAAACCAATGACATGAACATCGACTATTATTAAAGCACGTAATGACCACGCAGAGTAACGGTTGAGTGTCTTATCAATTAGTGAGTAGTAAAAAGCCTTGCTTATCGCATCATTAGAACTGCTAACAAGTGATAACCGTTTATTGTGGTAGCTAAATGCTTTGCCTAAATACCGCCACGTTTTAAGGACTGTTTAAAACACACCTGAGCCTTGTACTGAGATTTTTGTTTACAAGTAATTTAACTTGTACATATAAATCTTACATGAATAAGATGTATTTATTTTAGTGCGAGTTATGAGTCGGTTCTGTATGACTTCATGAATTCGGAAAAAATGTAATAACGGAACTTTGTTACCATGAATAAATTAATTTGGAAAAATTATGTAATAAGTATGTATGTATTGTACACACAATAAAAAAACATAACTGTTCTATAGAAACCTAACATGCGTTTGACTGTACCTACGTCATCAAATATGTATACACCTTTTAAAACAATACCCAATAATAGCAATTATTTTCATTGATTTTACTAAAAAAACTAATTAATGTAGATGTGTCAGAAATATAAATCATTTTTTAACTTTATTAATAAATGATGTATTAAAAGTATAAATTTATACAATGCGTTCAAAACTTACAATTTTATGGCATCCGATTGTATCTTAATTCAAGGAGGGTTTACAGTCGAGATTCATGAAATAAATTAATGAACGAGCAACAAACATTAACGATTTATTTTTAAGAGATACTTAAAAATGTGATTTTACAAACGCATTCAGTTTGTAAAATAGTCGATAAGAACCGGTGCTAAAACTGGAAAATAGAGTAAATTAAAAGACTGAACACATTACATACTATACCGCGTACGCACTGGACCAACGTATACGAAACAAATGAGCTTCGTTGGTCTTTACTGTCGTAAGCATGCCCGTAAATACGCCCTACGGGGAGGCAAGGACCGCCTTCAACCCTTACTGGAAACTTAACATGTAAAATAACAATATGAAATATTTTTAATTTTGTAAACATTACCCGCGTAAGATGTAGCTTTTTGTAATTAAAATAATTTTTAAACTGGACCTACAGGGTCGAAGTTCCGAAAGCTTATTTAATGCAAAAACAAACAAGAGCGATCAGTTTTGGATGTAGTTTTAAAAAAAAATATTAGTTATTATTCTATATAAAAATATTGACTTATAAAACAAAATAACGTCTATCGAGTCAAGGATTGAAACAACATTAAATTAAAAGCTAAGAAAAAGTTCAACCTTGCGTTCTTATATAGTATTTCCCTATTACAGGGAAAATTAGTGTTTCGTTTTTCTAACGTTTCCTTATTGAATAAAAAATAGTTTCTAATAAAAATACATTTTCATTGTGTCTCGAATATCGCCGAAAAATACCAGTATAATAGTTATTCAAAAACGAGTACAATACTGCGATATAAATACGTTACCCTATTTCGTAATAGCAAATTAATACGTAACTAGAGCTAAAGGTCAACTTCTACAGAACTTGAAGCAATTTGTCGATTCTACTGATTTTTTATAAGGGTTCCGTAACCAAAGGGTAAAAACGGAACCCTATTACTAAGACTCCGCTGTCTGCTACCAGGCTATCTCATGGACCGTGATAGGTACAGTTGAAGTTTTCACTGATGATGAATTTCTGTTTATTTTTTTTTTTGTGTTTTATAGATAATGATACATAACCCTTCGTGAACCTTGATATACATATACTATTAAATTCAAAGAAATAAAAATAGTAACAGAAATCTAATGAGAAATTAACGTTTAAATTCTCTGTGGGAATAGAATATTTATTAAGACGTCATAAACTTACAAACCTTGAAAGCATGATGTGGCCGCCTTCAATAGAATTTTACAATTTAGTATGTTTAACTATGTGATCTTGAATGTAAGATTTATTGTAATTTTTCACTGGTGGTCCAAATAAATAAATAAATAAATAAATAAAAAAAAAAACCGCAATCGTCACACGGGAGCGACAAGAACATAAATCATTAGCGGACTCCAACACAATTACATTACTTAATAAATGCCTTAAAAATATACAACCAATGACGAAAGATAATGACGTTTTGTCAGAGTCTATGAGATTGGTTCCATTTTGGATAAGTACGTACGATTAGTAGTTAAATTTACACAATACACTGTTCAATTGAGTCCACATAAGCCAGAATATCATTTACATAATTTCGTGCAGCAAATGAAAAACTTTAAAAGTAATTTATCTATTTAAAACTTAATGGCACTTAATATAGATTCTATTATGAGTTTAAACGTGGTGGAAATGTTCTCTGAAACAATACGTAGTTTCGACATAATAATATAAAGCGGTGCTAGTAGAACAATACCATACTCGTGTTTTGTTTAACTACTCAAGTTTATGGACAATAATAGGATGTAGACAGAACGGTTTTGAGAGAATCGTGTACGGCAAATGTAACATTTGAAAATTATTTACTAAAATTAATATATAAGAATATATTAAAACAGACTGACTAAAAATCGATTGGAAAAGAAACATTGACCTATTTAAAAGAGTTGTTTAATGTAAATGAAATAAGATTAAATAAATCTTTACAGTTTGTATACCGCTGAGTTTAGTTTTGATAAGAGTTTATGTATATGGATTTTGTAAAAACTGAAAGTTAATAACTTAATTATCTGAGCTGATTTTAATTCATCTACGTGTTAAAATGACACCCGCAAGTAACAGTGGAACTTCTTACTTTTTTTGAACATCATTGTTCAGATTCTAAGTTGAGTAGCTAAAGCCCCCGTATTATGGTGTATTGTTTCTGGTCTGGGGTTTGTGGTACGAAGGTACCAGAAAAAATATAAAAAAACTCTATTTTCTACATTGATTCGACGAGAATCGAACCCTGGACCTCAGAGGTGGCAAAACCTTGAAACCGGCATGTGAACCACTATACTACGACATCATCATCAAATATTATGTACTTGAAGTATTGGAGAATTGAGTATTGAGCTCAGCGTAAGGTTTCTTGTGGTAGATTTTGCTTGACGCATGAACTAGAATTTGGTTCTTTCCTCGGTTTGTCTTTCTAATATTGTGACTTTGCACTTTTTGAGGTAACTTAAACTTTATAATTTTATAATATAAAACCACTGAATCAATTTGATGAAACTTAAAATCAAACGAAACAGAATTATCGCAATCTGACGTTTGCGAGAAATATATGGACAAAAACAGTAATATATGCATGCACTTACAAAATCTGACACACGTGCTTTGAAAGTCACACAGATTGATAATGTAAAAAAATGTGTAATTTCAATCCGACCCAATTCTTTGGATGCAGTATCTCCGTAAAAGAATTTGTATAAGTAATCTATATTCGAATCATATGAAGTTAGTGTCAGATTTGTAAGCTAAAAAACACACCTAATATGTGCACTAGCGATGATCCTGTCACCAGCCAGCTGCCAAACGTGGAACTCATGGACGGCGAGAACTCCATCCACTTTCTCCAGGAGGCGTCGCTGAATCGCGTCCACCTAGTGACAAATTATGTACAGTTAAAAAGTAATAAGTTATCTAGACGTGAACGTAAAAAAAAAACGCCTTGAATACAGAAAACAAAAAAGGGTATATAAATGTGGGATTTACACATACAGGATAGAATGTGACAATAATGATGTGGACTAGAAAGAATTGAATGTTGTATCAGACCTGAAAAATTTGTAGTGCGACCTTGACATACATTTCGAACGTCTCTAAAACTACAACATTTTTTCAAATTCGTTTTAAAAAAATACATAGGTATGTTTAACAAATTCAAGAAACTTTATTAAAAGTTGTAATAAACATGGCCAGCAAATCCTACCCCAAATTCAAGTTTCTTGAATTTTTAAATGCCTGTATAGCTATTTTAGGTTTTTGAAATTTAATGCAAAGATATGTACATATTATCGCCTGTTCTTACACAATATCAAAAGCAAACAATACATATCGCTAGCCATAGACATTTAAAGTTTTTCCGCGAAATACTACGTTTTATTGTACGGAACGCTATTGATCGCTGATCCCATCCAGGACATCAATAGGCAGTACTCCGCGGACTCTATACATAAGTGTATGGATAGCGAAACGTATCGTCGATTTTCAACGCTCGCGTTATAATTTTGGTTGTCCATTTTGGCGCCTGCTCTAGGAACAGGTTATAATGCCTAACTAGAGGTACCTATATCGCTGTCCTACAATAGTGTTTGAATTCCTTTTAAGTTATTAGAGACTAAGTGTCTATTCTTCAGATGAAAATGATACTGTAAAAGAGAATCCGTAAGTAATTAAAAATTTAGAAAATTGTATTGTATTTTTGTTTATTTTCACGAATTTTACAGAGATACTTAAGAGATTTCTTACACAATAATTTAGTATACGAGGGTCAAACTGAAAGTTCTTAGAAAATCAAAACTGATTACATTAGCCAGTTATTAGTTTTATTATATCTTTTCAAAATATTGTCCATTCACGTCAATACACCGCTGCATGCGATGGAACCACTGGGAAAAGCACTTTGCCCACTCGTCCTTAGGGGTCTCTTCAATGGCATCGCGATACGCAGCCACCGCTTCTTCAGCATTCATAAACCGCTTTCCTTTAAGTTTTTCTTTAATTTTTGGAAATAAATAAAAATCACAAGGCGCGAGGTCGGGGCTATACGGCGGGTGACCCAGTAATTCAACGTTTGATGTCGCCAAATAGTCGATCGTTCGCTTGGCGGTGTGCGACGAGGCGTTGTCGTGGTGAAGGAGGATCCTACTGCGAGGTCGTTTCTCTCGAACTTTTTCCAAGACAAGTGGCAAACAATTGGTAGTGTACCATTCTGCAGAAACTGTTTTTTGATCCTCTAACACAATTGTTGCAAAATGACCTATCCTTCCAAAGAACGAGGCCACCATTTTTTTTCCCGCACTTCGATCTCTCTTCACTTTAGTTGGCAACTCCTCGAAAGGAAACACCCACTGAGCAGATTGTCTTTTGGTTTTAGGATCATAACAGTAAATCCAGCTTTCGTCACCTGTTAGTATGTCGAACACAGCATTTGAGTCACCTCCGTTAAATCTTTCAATCATTTTACGACACCAATCCACACGATGGAGTTTTTGAGCCTCAGTCAAATTATGAGGTATCCACCGGGCGCAAAGCTTCCTGACCGCTAATGTTCGTGGAGGATTTTGTGCACTTGACTCATACCGATGCCTAAGCTTGTCCGAATCTGTTGATAGGTCACTCTTTTGTCAGTCTCTATCATACGCCGCACAACACAGATGTTATCTTCAGTCGTCGCCGTAGAAGGCCGTCCCTCACGTAAATCATCAGTGAGATTAGTGCGACCACGTTTAAACTCATTAAACCAGTTGTAAACAGTCGCACGAGATGGGGCTTCATCGTGAAAGGCCAATCGTAGTCTATCATAACTTTCTTGTTGACTTAAATGACATCGAAAGTCATAAAAAATCATTGCACGAAAATTTTCTCGTGTTAAATTCATGATGACGTGACACAGACAATTTTCAATTTGCCGCCAATTCGTAAAACAAATGACAAATGAATGAAATATATACTCAGTAATATTGGCAAAGAGTTTTAGAATTTTAGAATTATTTTTTTATTATATTGTTTATAAGTGGCCAGTTCTAAGAACTTTCAGTTTGACCCTCGTACATTATAACGTGTTTTAGTCGCATTAAAATAAAACACTTATAGTCATTAATAACACTCTAGAGCACAGAGGGACGGCCAGGAAACGGATGTAATCCGTTCAAAGTTTCGAACCTCACAGAATACTACAGATGTCACGAAAAAAATATATGACATATGAATTAATAAGTAAATGGTTTTTTATAATACTCTTTTTGAAGAAAAAGAAAATAAAGTTAAGTGAATTATGAAATAAAATTCTAGAACAACTGATATTCTAGAACAACGTTGGTTTGATATCATTTAATACACAAAAAAATTTTTTTTTAGCAATAGCATTATAACGTATTGGCCTAACACATGATTTTTGTTAGTCTTTTTCAGTTTGACTTTTAACGTATTTGGTATATAACTTTGATTAAAACTACATTAAAATAATGTTTTTTTTTTTTAAACTTTCATGATCATTTACATTAAAATGATAGTTTTCCACGGGATTGCTACATGTAAAGTTAGGGTGTTTATTGAGTTCCCCATATTTCGGATGCAACAAGGTACATATGTACATGGTAGCAATCCCGTAGAAAACTATCATTCTAATTCACCAAAATAGCTTTGTCACTATATACACATTGTAATTAATTATTATATAGCATTTATTTAGAAACTAAATTAGATAGATAGATAGATAATTAATTTATTCTAAATGCAACACTCAACCACATTATACAGAGAATAAAAATAAATAAAGACATTCAATGTCTAATATACATATATATCCTATTCTACCATAAAATGATCTAGTTCCAAAAACGTTTTTACTTCTGAAGTATCCGGTAGAAACCCTGACTACGGTGTCTGTATAGGCAGATCACACATGCATGTATAGTCTTTCTAATTATTTCAAAATCTTTTAGAGAATAAACCTATTTATAGAAACCTGTCCATTGATATAAGCACATTTAAAGTGAAATTCTACTATGACAAAACAATTGATATTCTTTAAATGACCAAAGACATTATCTTTTGACGACTCATTTCTGCTAAAACTGACCAGAACAGCGAAGTTTTAAGATCCCATTAAGTAAATGTCTATGTAAATAAAATTACCTTTGCTTGAAATAATTAAAATGAAATCTACGAGTGTGTAATATTAATTGGAATCGTGTGTTAATGGCTAAAGCGGATTTACCCGCTATCTGATTTATTGCGAAACTCTCAAGGCTGGATATAATAATTTGAATGTTGTCATTCATACTTCGAGTATGTATTAAAAAAATGATGTACAATTTCAAATATCAGTAACATCATGTTGACATATTTATTTTGAAAGACAATATAGCAGCCAGGCTCCAAGTGCTGGCAGATTGAAAAAATACATTTAATATTTTACCAATTTCAATTTATATATGTATAATAACAGTAGATTTATAAAGTAAAATTATTCCAAACAACACAATATATTGACAGATTTCAATACATTTAAATTTCCACTCATACTAGTACAAAATAAGGTACAAAATACAAATAACTTAGTTTTACAACAATATCTATACACAAATAAAAGCTGCTCAAATACAGAACGGTATATGTTGATTTAAATTTTCCTATTGCCCTGAGAGTTGATAAAAAGAGTACCCTATTTGTGCATCTACTTTCCCTGCTAGCGTGTTTCACTTCCACCTGAGTAAACATGTTCAGTGGTCAGCTTTATGAGGTTTATCGGACAATCGCTACGATTGTTTTGAATAACATAATAACTAAAAAATATGTTCAAAATGTTTCGTGTAAAATCCGAAAACGCTACCTTAATTCACAAGTTACTATCGTTTACATTACATATAGTACTAAAGGTGAATCAAATAAAGTTCATCTATAATAAACAAAAAATCATCGACATTATATTCAATATCTATTTTTAGGATCTGTGACGTCACAGTACCGAACTCTACATCGTAGCACTACAATGCAAGTAGAAGTATTTTCATTTTTGCAAAACGCTTATTATTTTTTACTTATGAGTAAAACAACGCCAGAGTGCCCACACTCTGGCGTTGTTTTTAATTTATTAAATTTTTTATTTATTTGTTTTTAAGTTATAAGAAAAAGACGAAAATGTATTATATTTTCTAACCTATAAAATATACTTTTAATATGTATTAAACTTGTTTAGATACCAATCAGTTTAAAAAACGGGCAAGGTCGAGTCGGACTCGCCGAATGACAGTTATCGGCCGACTAATGAAAATAAGCACAGAAATCTACGCCACTGTGCATGTGGGCCCCATCGACCAATGAAAATGAGCTTGCACTAGTCGATAAACCTTGGAAATCTTATAGATTCGTCAACGTTTAATTAGTAGGTACACTTTTGGTCTGTTTTGTAGTTAGGCATAGGACCTACAGACTTTATAAGATGCATTCTATTTTTGGTAAGATTTTTCCGTTTCCTTATTTAAAAATATTTTATTAGGGTTTTTTAATGTTGTACGTTAATACAGAGGGACAATACAATAATGATAGAAGATTTTTGTGCTCTCCATTGAGTAATAAACAAAACAAGACTGTAAGATGCAGGCGATGCCCAAAAATGTACTAATAATAATACTACTGAGAGCTACGCTGTGGTACCGCGTGAAGCGTAATAATTCTTAGGAGCGCAACTCCAAAGTCAAAAACTTTTTTTATTTATGTAAATAATAAAAAAAACACAGTATTTTTGATTATGCTTATCCTTTCATTTTAAATAAAAAAAATAGTAAACTTCTTCAATGTAAATTCCAAAGCGCAACTGTTTCATAATAATAATAATAAAACAATTGTTCTCAAACTGCACGTAGAGATGTCATTTAACTTCAAATGGTTGTTAAAGAAAACATAAAATACTAAACATGACATAAATATAGTTCATTTTTAAATGAAAAAGAAAATCAACGTTCTATTTAATTGGCGTGTATGAGTACGGCGGTAGTTATTTCGATATTTGGCAAGGGCGTAGCTACTTATAATGATACGGGGCCCACGGGCTACAGGGGCCTTAACGTGTGTAAGCTAAAATTTGGATCCCGACTGATTTTCATAAAGGGCACGCTACGGCACTAGTAGTCGGCGAATTATCATTCATAAACATGTGGAAGTTATGTAAAAACGTAATAAATAACTCTTTATCTACAAAAATCTATAAAAAATTAATACAATTGGAGTGTCTATAATATTAAAATTAGCGGTTTCTAGTAAATGCATATGTATACCTATATACATATACCAAAATAACAATTTTTAGATTTTTTGTGATGGGTGCACAGATTTTGACGAGACTTTCACTAGCAGATAGTTTGTGTAATAAGGAGTAACTTAGGCTACATCCCACGCGGTCGCGGGCACAGCTTATCTATACTTATAATAAATTGTAGAGAGGTCAATTCTGTACATGAAATATATTTCGAATCGATACTGATGCCAAAAATGCAATAAGTAAAATTTTTGTCTGTCTGTCTGTCTGTCTGTATAACCGTTATAGAAACAAAATCTACTCGACGGATTTTAACGAAACTTGGTACAATTTTTTTTTCATACTCCTGAGCTGGTTATAGTATACTTTTCATCACGCTCAATCAATAGGAGCAGAGCAGTGAAGGGAAATGTTGGGAAAACGGGAGAAGTTACTCCATTTTTTAAGCTTCCGTCGCGTGTGCAACCTTAACGGTTAAAGCTACCCAGAAATCATGTATGACGGAAATGTTTTCCTTAAAATTATATAAAAAATATCCCATGACAGCATGTCTATCTTTTATGGTTGACTCACAATAACACGTGTAACTCCGGATAGCTTAGCAGCTCGAAGCTTTCTGATTGTATCTGTCTATTGCCGACTCTTACGTTTATAACACTCTCAGTCATCCCTAATTAAAAAATTAAATTACGCCGGAACTACTGAACGGATTTTGATGAAATTTGGTATACAGATAGGGTATTAGCTGACTTAGATAATAGGATACTTTTTATCCCACTTAACATTTCCCTAGGGACCACGCGGTCGAAGCCGCTGGCGAAAGCTAGTCAATAATATAATTGAACCTATGCTATTTTATTCTTCTTACCTGGATATGTGTAGGCACTGTCTGCAACAGAATAAGCGAAGACTCCCTCAGTAAGGGCCACACTGACGCAAGGATCAGGATCACTAACACTATACTGAGCGCAGGGTCGATGTAATATTTGTACTTCCAGTCTGTCAGCCACACGATTAAAGCGGAGCCTACTACGATTAGTGAACCTAAAAACAAATAAATTTCATATAATTTCATATTAAATGTTGACATGATTGCTCATTGAATTTTACTACAGGCCAAATTGCAATGAAATTTTAAGGGTCGCGTTACTCAAAAGGAAAAGACAGGAGTTTCTATAAGATCACTCTCGTGGTCTGTCTGTCCGTCGTGTCACGATTATGATAATTTGCCCAAAAACGACTGCACGGATTGAGTTGAAATTTATAAGACATTGACCCAAAATGGATTTGTAACGTAAACAAATGATTTTAACTTTTATCATTTCATTCGTCTTAGTTGCTGTGGTTCGAATGTATAAAATGAACTTTTCTCCGTCTGGGTTCTTTGTCTGGATTATCAGTCTGGGTGTTGGTACCTTCGTTGTCTCAAATACTCTATAATACGACACATATTGGAATCTCGGCAACGTATATGATGTTGTCTAAAATTTATATCTTAAAAATCAAGTTTTTAATTTACGATTGTATTTTCAACATTACGTTCACCTAATGCCGTTGATAATACGTTAAACGACACACCTAATCAAGTAACAAAAGCATTTACACTTGACCTATTTTGCTATCGACGCCAAACGTGTTGATTATTGGCACTCCTGTTATTAACCTTGCACATAATTTATCTATATATTTAGATATCGATCGATACAACTGATCGCCTAATATATGATAAAACTTAAAAAAAAACTAGCACAAGGTCACAACGGATAGCATGTTTGTAATTTCTAAAATAATGTCAATGGCACAATGCCGAGCGTGTGTACGTAATATTTATTAAAAAATAACAACAAATGATAACAGAAACACACAATTATTAATGTGTAAATATTTTTAACCGTCGTCATATCTCGAGCTTTTAATATTAGTACCAATCACATTATTGCTGTGGTAGATAACGTTCGGCCCTTTTTTCTAACAACTGTCATTACTTTCAGTGATAATTGTTTGTTTAGACTAGGATAGCCAACAGCAAATATGAAAAACTTGGATTTTAATCTTGAAAAGTTTAAATAAGTATGAATACGATTAGTTAAATGAAATTCGAGTAATAACAGTTAATTATTGGGTTACAACAAAAGTGAGTAAGATGAAAACTTTACGAATTCTTTCTTCCAAAAAAATTATAAGGGGCCCCACTGGGAAAATAGTTGGCTGTAACGTAGGCAAAAGTAACGCATGAATTATTATATTAGAACAATTTTGCATTCACAATCCTATACTGGAAAATATTCTCAATGTAAAATGTCTCGTGAACTTTAAAATACATAATGTTATGAAGGCGCTTTGGAATCAAAGGACGTTGTTTAAAAAACTATCCAGGACATTCACTACTAAAACCTGGACATGTCCTAAGAAGGCAGGACGGTAGGCAACACAAGTTTTGTGTAGCGCGATACGACTGGGCGGGCGTGACCGATTATATTATTCTTATAATGGACTTGTGTAAAATTAAAAAAAAAAGCTTGTATGATTATTCATATTTAGGACAATATCTACACATAAGACGAAACCGCCCGCGTTAATATTGTAACGATTCAGTACAATCACAAGAAACACCATAATAATGTCTACAAGGAAATGGTATAAAATGTTGTAATTAATTTATAATTTCCGACTTGCGTTATCTACAATGGCGATTTTAGATCAATATAGAATCATCATCATCAGCAGCCCTTTTACCGTCCCACTGCAGGGGCTCAGGCCTTCCTTATGGATGATCAAGGAGGAGGGGCCATGATGCCCCACACTCGCCCTATGCGGATTGGATGGTATCAACGACTGCAAATGCAGTTCATCTCAAATGTTCTCCCATCATATGTTATTTTAATTTTTATATTTTTATTACTTCACAGTACCTGCAATCTCGATGGTCACTTAAAAATATAATTATAAAATGGTTTGTGACAAAACTGTAATAAACCTAGCGAGTGGCAAGATACAATCTCTATTACAACTACTGCTTGCGACACATTTGGGTAATTACATTACCTTCACAATGTTAATATTATTGATGAAATAAATGAAATTTTGGTCTTTGTTGAGCAACGTTTTAAAAGTTTTTAAAGTTTTAAAAATATTTCCATCCATATCATAACAGCACTGATAACTAACAACAGAAATTAACAAAGCGCAAACCTTAAGAGTTTATCAACATACCTCTCTTTTAACAATATAGTTTTTGTCTCACTCAGAAGTATCGTGTATGACCTCAAGGTGCTATTGAAAAACATAGGAAATATTATTCACATAGGTGTATATAATAACAATGTCAAGGGAATCGACCATTAAGAATGCGACTAATCAATTCGTAACACGGCAAAGATAAATAACATTCGTAAGGATAACAAGAAGGCAAAGGAAGTACCTACTGTAATTTTGATACGCTTCGCAAATATAATTTGACACGGATGAATTATTTATAGTACGTGTTTGAAAACAGTATTTTCTATGTTATCATGGTTATAATAGACTTGAGAAGTTCACAATGGTATTATGATTCATAATTATTCCAATTTAAATATTTAGTGAAAAATATCAGACAAAATAGGACATTAAACTCGAGCGCAAACAGACGAGATAGTACTGCGAACTAGATGCACGCCCGAATTCTCCTAATATTGTTTTGCTTGCGATTCTTACGAATAATTGCTACTAGACAATCTACGAATAACGCTTTGAATTTTGTGTGAAATGAAGTGGTCATTGTCTTCAGCTTTCCGTATGGATAGAATTGCATAGGGAAAATGGCATGTAACCACCACGCAGTTGGGATCAATTACTTAAAATTATATTCTCATTGTATTCTCCTTATATTCTACCATGTTCATTATATTCTCCTTAGAAATTTTCTGCGATCACAGACCGAATGCGCTATAACTACTCCTTTAATTCAAACTAAAGTTCAAGGGTAAGAAAAACAATAAATTCCTCACGTGCAATAATTACAGAACCACAGTCCAATTACTGTTTTTTTTTGTTAGTCTCCTAGTTACGTATACTGTAGAGTTCTGAGTAGGCGCAGATTCGAGTGATGCGGTTACTATTTTTCGACTTCCGCCAGTAAAAAATGTACACCGTCGAGGATCCATGGCGATGATAGGGTCATCTGAATAAGTCCACATAACACAGTGACGTGAACTGTTATTGGATGAACATAAAATCAAGTCATGGCCAATATTTTTTCCAAAAATGAGGGTACACCAATCGTTGAGTCTCATCGCTCTATATCGCTGGATACGAAGGCGGTATTTACAATTTTCTGCGTCAATCATATCAACGATATGTACAATTTTGATTGATGCGATGTATAAGTGTGCGTTAGTAATATACCTACATTTTATTGAGTTAATCTAAGGTATCTAAAGCTAATGAAAATGTTAGCTTTAGTGAATTTAATCGATGAATTGATGACAGACCTAACTAACTTGGTCTAATGATTCATAATATGGAAGCTATCTAATAGATTGAAAGTAACAATATTATAACAATACCTATAAAGGTTATAAACGTGACAAAGAAACGAATAACGTTTCTGATAATAGATGGTCGTCAATAGATTTCAAACAGTTGAACATAATAACTATAAGTATTATGTTAGGTAGAGTAACAAATTATCGATTAGTAGCCTTCCTATAATATGATTGCCGCCTCCAAAAAAGGTCATTGTAACAATTAATTTTCTAGTGACTTAGTCACGGTTTTGACGGAATCTGCAATTTCCGTGATGAAAGTAAAACTCAATGTCGACGTAATTAATGAAATGACAAAATACAACTACTGGTAAATTGTGTTGCGTATCAGGCAGTATTGAAACTGAAACTTTAAAATTTAAAATTATCTTTATATTGAAAATAGTAAAGAAGATTAAATATCAACAAACAAGGAAACTGCGTTTCGTACCATTATGAAAAAACAAAAGCAAAGAAAAATCACGTTTGTTGTATGAAAGGCCCTATTATTATAAGTATTATTTTATTGGGTTTTAAGTATTTATAGTTAAAGCGGCAGAAACATACATTAGTGAAAATTCATTTCGGAGTAATATTACTTTTTAGGGTTAATCCTATTACTAAGTCTTCGCTATCTGTCTGTCTGTAACCAGGCTGTATCTCATGAACCATGACAGTTAGACAATTGAAATTTTCACAGCTGATGTATTTCTAACCCATAAATCTAGCCCCTTAAATATTTAAGGGGCCTCCCATACAACAAACGTGATTTTTTACTCGTTTCCGGTACGATACCCTACGTGCGTGAGTCCGAATAGCACTTAAATATTTTTTAAAGTACTATTAAGTATATATGCTAAGAGAAGCCCCAAAAGTCCAAAACGCAGCCATTGTACATGTAATTTGGAAAACTGTAGTTATGCGGTTTATTTGATTTTTGACGTGATATTGAATATACACACACTAAATAAATAGGTGTGAGTTTGTTTCATAAAAAATAAAAAAACTTTGTATCATAAAAGACTGTACAGTACAATTATTTTTAATAAGAATTCGACCGAAAGTAGTAACTAAGACCTTCAAAATGGCTACGCCACTAGGCCAGACGTAGAGCTAGGCAATCAGTTACAAAGGTAGTGTCATGAAAGGTTTTCTTCTTTCTATTGAACAGATACAGAATTTCGAACGTAGGAATTAAGCTTAATACACTTGGCATAATTTTCCTTTGACTATTTCTTTTGAATATTTAGCATACTAATTCCTATTGCTTGACTGAATGTTTGAATATATGAATTCCACCATACTATCAATATGGCAGATTTTTTGGTGTTAATAAAAATAAATTATTTCACATAATTTCGTATAGTATAAAAAAGAAAGAAGCGATCAATCCATTACGTTAGTTATATTAGAACTGTGACCAAAACAAAAAGCAGGCGAGGGAGACCAAAACAAAAAGCGAATAAGGATAGTTCTGATTTGGGAACTTTTAGTGAAATCATTGTTCTATTTAATTATGTATAGGTATAAAATTTGTACCTAAAGACGACTCTGAATTTTAAACTTACGAATCTTGTGTATGCCAAATTACATTATGTAAAATAGAATTGAGGCCAGCCACTATTCTACAATTTCATAGTGGACCCGTCGAATATACTATTCGCAAATACATTTCCTAAGATTCCATCTATTCAAAAGCATATGACCTCAGTACGAAACATTATAAGAAGTCTGGTATATCAGTAATAACATACTCACCTAAGGCATCAGACAGCACATGAAGAAAAACTCCTTTCATATTCATATGACCAGGGTCAGTGGTGGCGCGGCATGGCGTCTGTTTATTATTGTTGGGCATTTTGGCCGTATTCGGTGGTACCATTTCATCTGTTTCTTCTGTGTCTGTTGCGTTGTGACCGAGTGCCATGTCCGCATTACTGTTTACGATTTCTGTGAGGTGCCTCACGTTGGCTGGTGGCGGTACGCCGCCATGGGAATGTCCATGGCTGCTACCATGTTCTAGGGCATCAGGTTAAAATTAAATAAATTGAAGTAGCAAAGAAATATTGCTCCTACAAATAACTGCAGCAGTACCCGTATGGAAATAAGATAAAACAGCACCAAATATACCAATTCCATGAAACATTAATATATGTTTTTTTATTGTTTGGAAATACCATATGTTATTTAAAAATAATAGTGAAAAATAAAACCTTTATATGTTAACTAGCTGTGGCAAATGCTATCAAAACATTTAAATATTTGTTCATAATGTTGGGTTGCTTGTATCAAAGCAATTTACTGTTTACATTCCTTTGTAGACAGAGGACAATGGACAGGGACAATAAATTAATTTATGAACAGAAACTCAATATTATCAAGTTGACATAACTTACCATGAAATAAAAATAATCCTACAATGTTCAAAATTAATCCTAATGTTCCAACAGCGACTAGTAATTTTGCATCATGTATAATTTCGATTTCAATAAACCGCTTGACGGCTTCAATTGTTATACTGAAGCATAAAGCCACAAGGAACACAGCATTCACTAAAGCGCCCAATACTTCTGCACGGGCCCACCCAAATGTATTCTTTGACCATTTCTTTGGTGACATCTGTTAGAAAGTAAAATTTTATTGTAAAAAAATATTCTGTATAAAATTTATTAAAAAGGTCATCAAAAAATAATTAATTAAAACCTGTTTGGAACTAAACAAATTAGATGAATTAATTATGAAGGCAAGATTCCATACAGGCATAGCTAATATAATTGGGTCCATAATAAAAAAGGAAATGAAACTGGGTGTTCAATAGGTAAATACCTACCACACATATACATCTATAAATTTATACCACAGAGTAGTGTGTAAGCTGAAAAGGCCTCTAAAATATGTTCATAGCTTGGCAAAAGAAACATAGGTGACTTTAGAAATATTTAATGTTTTCTTCACAAACATTTTTAACTAAAGGCTGACCAAGTGAACCAACTAAATACTCTTAGATATTCTACATACAGTTGATTCAAAATGTTGATTGTTATAGAAAGCACTTTAGCTTAATTCACCAGTCCCATGTGCCATAGATGGGATATCCATAATGAACAATGCAATTTGATTTATCTCATAATAGTAAACTTTTATAAAAGTCAATATATCGAAGATACATAAAGTAATAGCTCTGGTTTTATTTACCCATTACAAAAATGATCTAACAGCCATTAAATTTAATAACACCTTAAGCCCTAATTAATGCTAAATTTGTATGGGTAATGTTGTTTTAAACTAATGATAATTATAATATATGTTTGTGCAAAATAATATGAACTTTTATTAATATAGGACCTCCATGATAATAGGGAAATCCATGTGTAAGATGATGACTCACAGTTGCTGAGTTTATTCTGAGAATAAGACAACTTTATGACACCATTGGTAAAACCATTCACTTATAGTTAGAAACTTTAATTGTTTGATCTTCTCAATAAAGCATTGTAATAACAAATAGATAAACAATATTAATAAGTTTGAAGTATAGAATATAGCAATTATTGTAGATGACCTAGAAAATGTTGAGAATAGTAGCTGAACAGAAATTGAATGAATAGCAAATTGTTACAACTGTTACTATGTACAATCTTTGTAAATGTATGTTATTATTACATGTCATAAGATATTGTTTATATAAAAAAAAAATTGTTTGTAAGACAATAAATACTTACTTTAACTGATAAAAAAGCAATGACAAGAGCAGCAACATCACTTAACATATGAAAAGAATCTGCGACAAGGGCCATTGAGTTGGTGAAATAGCCCACTATGAGTTCCACAAAGAAGAAGCCACCTGTGAGCCATAACATTGACAATAGTCTACACTTCTTCCCAGTGTATCGACCCATTGTGACTGCAAAAACACATTGGCATAAAACAACTAAATTGGCGATAACATATGATTGAAAATATAACTCAAAATGCTGTATTTGATTTTAATATATCAATCTCACACAAAAGATAATGTAGTAAAAAAATTGGATTAACTGAGAGTTGAATTAAAAACTCACTTTATATGATTAGTTATACTTTCAGTAAAAATAATATTTAAACAAATATTGTGCAATTGAATTATTGATTAGAATATTTATTTTATGTAAAAACAAGTATCAATCATAATTACTCAATATAAGCAAATAATAAAATACCTTTAAAAACATAAAACATATTACTCATATCTTCAAACTTATTCTCTATGAAAAGTTACCTAATGTGACAAAACATATTTCAATAATACAACACTATTTAGGTACATTAAAACATATAAACATATTTTAATGTGTAACATAAATAATGTAGGATTAATAAAGCATATTTTGACAAGCTAAAGTTAATAAAGATTTACAGTAAAGATTGTAAATCTTCATTTACTTTATAATAACTTACAGAAGTACTTATTTATCACATAAATTTGTGGAATGGCAATAGGAAATACACATTATTTTATGTGATGTTTGATGTTTTGAGTTGATAGAGTAAGGGTAGCTTTTAATTTCCTATAGGGTCTTAATAAAAATGACTTTTAATCAAGACACTACTTAACAAATTAAGAGAAACTGTTATAAAAAATATGAAAAAATGAAAGTATTAAATATATACCTTCAACCACAAGTGTAAGAAGAATATGAATTATGTATAGAAAAACTATAGGTATCACACAACAAAAATATCTTGATTTATATAATGATGACTCATTAATGATGTAATTATAAAATAGGTGGTACACAATTACAAAGCATGGTGAAAACGAGCAATAATTTAGATAGGGTATGGGGAATTTTTATGATTAAGTGTTCACAGCAAAATGTTCTATAAAATATAATAGTCACTACTCACCAGTTTATAAATTATCTATGAATATTAAATATAGCGTTCTGTCAGCAGTTACCCATCAGGAGTTTGTCAGAAAATTTGCACTCTCATTTCACAACAATAGACGAGTATTCCAATATCGATTTAAGTTCTTCTTAGTCACAAGCATTCGATTTTAAATATTGGAACAATGAACCTTAAACTACATTTGTTTTGCTTTGATAATGAAGTTTAACGCAAAAACAACACAATAATATTGATGAAAATGTAGCGTGAAAGCCCGACGTAGGATGATTCACATAAATCTTAATATCAGAAAACTTATTTTACGGAATTCAGATTTTATAGCTTTGAAATTTAGTTTCAGCAGAAGCAGTATAATTCACTTTAATGTATTAAAACTTGTGACGATTTAGGATTTTATACACAAAACTCGCTAGGTGCTTCAATGGAATAAGGAATCAAAGAGTAATGTTAATGAGCGACAATTTGTAAATGACAATGTCATGTCATCCTGCTTCAATTGTCAATGTTAGTCTAGGTTAGAGTTGCCGATCTATAGCAAAAGAATCGATCTTGTGTATCGATTCGAATCGAACCTTTAAAATTGATTTGGAAAAAATCATTTGAGTAAAGATTGATATATTCTCCAAAACCTTTTAAATTTACTGGGTTATTATCGAATTATTACATTAAAAATATTGTAAAACGACAATAATTATACTGTGATTTTGTAAAAAAAATGGGGAGTACTTGTTCATTAATGTTTATAATTTTATAAAGCCCACATAGTCCTTTTATTGATGAAATAACAAACAACGTTCAAAGGGTGTAGGCAATAAACGAAAATAAATACATTTTTATAAGTGTCGACACCCCTATTGTAGAAAATTAATATTCCTCAGAGAGTTAAATCAAAACATATTCGCATCTTCGAGATATTAAAAAAAAAAGTTCTAAAATTATTATGTGATTGAGCCACATAATATTCTTGGAACTTATTTCGATGTATTACAAACGGACTTCCTTTTAACATTAACAAACCATAATCTAACAAAAAAAAATAATAGGTACCTCAGACCTAAGTTTGACCTACCTATTTTGCCTAAGCTAAAATAGTTTAGACAGCCAGATTATACAGTTGTTTTTGACCCACGGTGTGTAGTATGCGGCGCGATCAAACAATTCTCACGCTCTCATTGTACATTTTCGCTACTATTATTTACAATTGACTTCGGGTTTTTTTTTAAGTATGCGCATATATAGTATCTATTAACTTACTATTCATAATGACGGTTTTATTTTTGACATATCTTGAAAAAGTCAGTACATTTGAAATATTTTTTTTTTATTATTTTCAATATACCTTCAATTATTTTGTTTACTTAGTTAATCAATCCATTTTCCAATAAAAGCACAAAGGTTATTAAATTAACAAGTAATCGATTGCTTTATACCGTCACGATAAAATTTAATTTACAGTGACATCTCTTTTCCGCTCAACTATTTTATTTTTATTTGATATATCTCTATGGTCTTTATACATTCAGCTAACCCATAGACTAGTTTCACAAGTCACTGTTACCCTCGTATAAACACTCGTTTTCATTAACCTAGAACAAGCCTTATTTACGAATCCCTAAGCTGATTAGTTTAATTCGAAATAAACATTTTTTTTCTTTTATTCCTCAACATACTTCGCTCATTTGCGACAAGAACGTGTTAACGCAAATATGTATCGTTATTGAATAATAACACAGTAGAATTCGGCGCATCGCGCTCTACTTGCTGCTAAAACGCGATATTTCTAGCGCCGAAAATGACCGAGTAATGAAGGAAAGGGATGGCGACTATCAGTTTAGCGCTATCTCTTTCCGCTCCTAAGTTCAATGCAAGATCGGCTCATGTCAGTTGTCTCCGTTTGCTTGAGGAGGAAAGTGCTGCCTGATTGCGGCAAAAATGTAACAGCTCATGGTGTCACGGTTTTGATGAAAAGGTAAATACAAAAGTACGTTCGTAAAAATATTAGTTTGTTTTCTATAAAAAGTGATGTACACAATTTTAATACAAGAAATAAAAATAAAATTAACGGTGCCTGTCACTAGACTGCAAAAAGTTAATAACTCATTCAAGGGTCTTTGTGTGCGCTTCTACAATAAGGTCCCAAGTAAAATACAACAATTAGATATCATGCAGTTTAAATCTACTATTAAAAAAATACTTATTAAAAAAGCTTATTATAAAGTATCCGATTATATAACAGATAAGAACGCTTGGACTTGAGATGATCCAGCAACTGGATAGGTGATTACTTCTAAACTCATTATCTTGTTTTCATTATTATTAAATGATTATGTTATCATTATAAGACCATAGTTTTTTTTTCTCTCTCTGTTTATAATGTATTGATCTGGTAATGACATGGTTTTTGCAAATTATCCAATTTTTTTTCAAGAAAATCGGTATTTAGGAACCTTGTGGTTGAAGGTGTGAAGGTCCCTGGTGTGGTGACGGAGACAACTGGCCAGGGAGACTAAAGGATAATTGTCTCCCTCCGAGCTAGGTGTTTTTAGGCCGGGGACCGCGGTCCAACCGATGTAGGTTGGACGTTCTATTTATGTTAATTGGTAATTAAACTTATTCAGTGTGATGTAGGTTTCTTTGTTCTAAATGTCTTGTAGTTATTAATTTATGCTGTTTGTATTGGTACAGCGCCATCTCGTTACTTGCTGTTGAAACTTATTGCAGTTCGTCTTGCTATCGATGGCTGTGACGATGCTAGTCTTCTCGCTATCGATTGTTGTGGCGATGTTACTGCGATGAATTAGATGTCGCTATGTATCAGTCGCCACAGGTACATATCTGTTTGTTCTGCAATACTGGATTTTTTTACAAGAATAACGTAACAAGGAGGACCCTTTTTTAAATAAATAATCATAATAAATTTAATAACTAACTTAAAGGTCTGAATGCAATTTGATCCAAAAAACGAAAACCTTGAAGTTATGTTGTATTGAGCTGAATAGGCTAAACAAAATAATTAAAAAGTTACAGGAATTTCAAACTTTCAAGAGCGTTTTATCACAAATTGAGATTTTTACTTTGTCACGTTTTTATCGCAAATGAGCGATATTTGTGTCCTGTAATGATGTAATGCCAAAAGATGGGCCTTTAAGGCCTTATCACAGATTATTATTAAATTTACAAATTGTGTTAAAGTTAGTGATCGAAAGATAATACCGCAGATGTGCAATGTGGCAAAGTTTTAATTGATTAATACAGATTAAATTTAGTTAGGGATTTTACTACTGAGGCATCATCCTGCCTTATTTATGAATGTTGAATTGGGCAGCACACATTCTCTCATAATTAGGAATGAAGAGATCCGTAGGAGAACTACGTTACTGACATTACTCAAAGAATAGCTCAGCTAAAGTGGCAGTGGGTGGGACACATAGAGAGAAGAACTGATGGCCGTTGGGGCGGAAGAGTTCTCGAATGGCGATAACGTGCCGAACGACGCTTAGTGGGTAGGCTCCCCACCATATGGACCAACGATCTTTTAAAGGCATGTCTGTGTAGCGAAATTTATGTCTATATATGTGACCTGTATGTGACCTGTATGTGACAGTCGATGTTTTGACAATGATTATATTAATCTGTAAGGGCCGGTTAGCAACGCAAGAAAATGATTTCTAGTGATCCATTACAAAATTAAAGTATCTAAGAGGCGTTTGATTACAACATCCAAATTATCAAATTTGACAATATCATCAAATATTCTGGTGAAGAACACATTCTACGCAACTCCCAAACCTGTACCTGTTTCTTTCTTTCCCGTGATCAGAGTATAGGGATGACGGTAAAATTCTCTCTCCTCTTTCAAATTCTTCTCTGGCCTCAGTCCTCAACTTTGATGCCTATTATATGAATATGGGTGGTGGGTAAATAAATATGGGTGGTGGGTAAAATTGAATTAACTACAGAAAACCTCAACCCGACTTCAATGTTTCTTAAAACATTTAACCGCTTTTAAGATACGCTTTTTTATGTTTTTATTTATTATAATATCATTGATTTAAATATAATATTTATATCTATGGTGCGCTAGTCCAACTCGCTCTTACCTGTTTCTTTATACTGATTGGTATCTAAACAAGTTATATTAAAAGCATTACGTATATATTGTCTAACTTTTTGTAGGTTAGAAAATACATTCACAGGCAAAATTAACCGCCCACCTTCTATTTCTTTCAATGAGGAAGTATTAAAAAATAAAACGAAAACACTAAAAAGGCACCTCCACTAGATGGCGACTTTAGCAAAAGTTGATTTTTGCAGGAAACGAATGGACCAAAGACAGTTATTTCCGTTCCTTTTTAACTAACATATTAAAAAACTGAAATTTGAAAAGTTCAAAACTTAGATATCAATACAAATACGAAAAAGTAAATATTGTATATTTTATATGTTTATTGAGTTTGAAAACCAATTTACTTTTGAACATGAAAGAAAACCGGAACGTACCCATGGCGACATCTAGTTTGATTTCGGTAACTATTACCTTCCTCATTAATTTAATCTTAGACCATATTTTATGAAAGGAATATTAAAAACTATACTTATAGAAAAAGACACAACAAAAAAATTGGAAAAAAGTCTTATTAAAGGATGCTTACCAAATCTCGATTTATTGAAAATTTTAAAATTTTGGTTTTGTAAATAACGGGGCAATTAAAAGAAAAAACAAATATTAATAGTGGGTTTTGCCACCTCCGGCCCTTATGATTTTTTGGAGCCGGTTTGTTAATCCATCCATGATGTTTTGAATATCCGGTTGGGTTATTGGGCCACTCCTCTACTGCAGCCGCTTTTAGCTCTACTATAGTCGTAGGGACTGGACTCTTGCTCGGACTCGTCTTTTAAGGTCGTCCTAAATGTACTCTATTGAGTCTAAACTCAACCCGATCTTAATCGCAACTGCGTGCAGGCCATGGTAAAACTTAAATCCCTACCTCATTAAAGTACTCATTGACGGATGTTGCGGTATGGCAACGTGCGGTATGACATGGTCTTGAAGAACTTCTTCCACGTATCTTTGAGTGTTTACACTTCTTCTATCGAATACAACAAGAACGGTACGAGCCCTAGCTACATCATTTGCATCAAGTGGCAGTTTTTGCAATGACAAATAATGAGCAAACACTATAATCTCAAATAAAACAATACTCGCCCACAATGATAGAAAATAACAGGAAATATTAACTCTGTAACACAACATCAACAATGTAAAACAACGACTAAATTTAGAAAACCCTTCGGTTATACAAATTTAGGAAAGATAACGGTATAAGTGTTTTATTTATTGGTAGAGTACCCACTTTACAAAAAACAAAATAGTTGATAAGCCATTGTTGACGGAACCGGGTGATGAATGATACAGGTGGGCGGGTTATTGTACCTGTGAGTGTATATACATTTTGTGTTTTTCTTGTTATTATTAAAGAAGTATAAAAATAAACCACATACAAATAAAAACATAAAATTTAATCTCCATTAATAACTAAAAAACAACACTATCTACCCTCGAAGTAGAAAATAATAAGTGTTTTCCAAAGACTTCTGTTTAATTTGTAGTGCGACGATTTTTATTATTATTTTTTTATATTTATTATATTGTGTTAAATATAAACTTCGTCATGATAGTTTTTATGGCGCATAATTTAAAAAAAATACAGAAATTCTTCAACATACATTCACCAAAGTCTCTGATTTCAATACCTAAAGTTTCTTAAATAATCGGTTAAATTATTTGCTTTGCATATAAGTATTATTTCTCACTGTTTTGAAGTTTTAAGTCGGTTTTATTTATTTTAGCACTCGAAAGGTAAACAAGGAGAAGGTACAACAACACCAAGCCACAAGACAATATACAAAAAAAAAAGTTCACAAAATAGAACCCGGAACCTAGAGATAGAGACCGGCATGCGAGCTACTCCGCTACGGCGGTCGTCATTAAGCCTCTAAAATCATTTTATTTGTAATATGACTTATTTTTTGTTCTTTGCCTAATTTACTTTTTTAATAAATGTTATATGATGTATTGTTTGGTTTATCTTCCAATATTTTTTAGAAAAACAAGCTAAAATGTGAAGTTGGTCATTATAATAAAAATACCTGTTGGCTTAGCACAAGTCATACAAGACAATAAAAGAAGAGCTGTTTTAAATTTATTTTCGGTGAAATTATTTTATCACAGTATTTATGCGTTTCACAGCCGAGAAATTTGTACTTATTCATAGCTGCTCAAGTTCCATACGTAAATGGGCATTTCCTTTCAATACATATTTTAAAAGAAGTTTTAACCGTAGAAATGTGCACTGATTAAAAACATACCTTGTTAATATATTTTTCACTGTTAAAAAGTTAAAAGTTTATATATGTGTATGTGGAATTAAAATAAAAAAATATATTTTTTTAATATTTAATCTCAGATATAAAAAAGAGCTATCGTTTTCGGCTATCAATAAAAGTCATATTGCAAGTAAAGTAATCACATTCTATCGCCAACTCTAATATCTATGGGATACGCTTCTTCATCATCTTCTGCCGGTTTGTTTTCGTTGGTCTCTCTCTTCGGAGCATTTACTTCGATCTTGTCTCCTCCATAAACATATTGATTGGGATTAAGAGGTACAAAAAATGGTTTATCCTCTTTTTGTGGTTTTGTTGTACTTTCTTGTTTGTCATTTCCGTTCGAAGTAGGTGAATGATCGATTGGTTTTTCACTATTTTCCTTAGTTGGATCGTAAATAGTACCGTAATCGGGTTTGGTTTGTGGCTTTTCGATAGGTTTTTGAGCATCTTTGTTATCGTTACTTTCATAATTGGGCTTGGAACCTCCATAGTTATTTGGCTTAGTATTTTCATAAATATTTGTATTGGAATTTTCGACATTTGGTTTCTGGTTTTCGTAATTATTTGGATCCATATTTCCGTAATTATTTGGTTTTGAATTCCCGTAGTTGTTTGGGTTTTTATTTCCATAATTGTATGGGTACGTATTACCGTAATTGCTTGGATTATTAGGTCCATACTTATTTGGGTTGTTATTTCCATAATTATTTTGATTGGTTGGTCCATAATTATTAGGGTGAGTATTTCCATAATTATGGGGGTTGAAATTTCCATTATTCGTTGGTTTATGATAACCGTAATTATTATCATTATAATTTCCATTGTTGTATTGAGGAGGATATCCTGGTTGATGGTGATTGGGTGGTCTGTGTGGATTATTCGGCATAGGTCGATTTTGTCCGTATTGTTGATTTGGTTGAGGTCTATGGCCATAATTATTAGGCGATTGTTCTTCAATAACGACTATTAGCGTGTCACTTTCGGGTCCACCACCATTGTGTGGTGGAATTGGGTGATGTGGAGGCATTGGGTGATGTGGGTTTGGGTGATGCGGCGGCATTGGGTGATGTGGTTGATGTCCAGGTCGGTTGTATGTTGGGTGAGCGCCAGGTTGAGTTTGAACACTCACTTCAAATCCATGTGCCGCGCCGTGTATAGCATTTTGCACTTTAGAACCTATTTCTTTAGCACCGTTCAAAATATCACTTAATATAGGGATTTGTCCTTCACATTTTTGAGTCACTGTTAATAAAAAATAAAACAAGAAATAACTAAGATTCATTGCGCACTGTCGATTTCTCGCCGCACTTGTATCAGACTGACTTTATTATTGTATGGCGAATACCGACAGACTGATGACGTCTCGGGTGCCATCTGAATATGTCTCGCTGATATCATCACGATCCGAAACAGGTTTTGCCACGGTATTTCACCGGCGTCCGCAAAAAATAATGTTTATTATGAGATTTATTACAATGTTGTTGTACCTTGATAATAATTAGAAATCCGGAATTACAATAAAAAAACCTTCGCGTAGATTAAATTTATAAGATGAGTTTAATAATCATGTTATACTTGTTTGTACTTAATAAGGACACTACGTGCTATAAATAATTGCAATTAGATACTGGAACATCATACATATATCTTAATAGCAATAAGAATTATTGAATTTGCATCAAGAGCAACTAAATTTACAAAATTGGATACATTGAGTAATTTTAAGAAAACTTAAGTATTTAGATATTGTTTTTGTATTAGAAATATTCTGGTATATAAACAGATATACATATATCCATTAGCAGATACATATTTCATTCGGTATTTTTGTTCAGCTGAAGCATTTAATTATTATTTTTTTCTTTACAAAAAACAAGACTACGTTAGTGTTATACAAAATAGAGATGCGCCGAATATTCGTGTTCGGTATTCGGAGTATTCGTCATCTTTTCCACTATTTGTATTCGGCTGAATAATTCGGTTTTGTTGTTGAATTTATTCGGTTCAAGTAATTTTATTTCTTGGCTACACGACACGATTTAGAACTAAAAGGCAAAACTTATTATGAAAGATTTATGTTATACGTATATCAAAGAAATCCTATGAAGAATGTGTTGAATCAAGCTAATAAAATGAAGTAATTAAACTTAAATTCATAAATATTAATTTCGTTAAATAAACTCATCTTTTTATTTGAATTAAAAAATTAAACCTCAGAACAATATCTTGTTAAATTTAAAATCGAAAATGTTTTATAAATTTAAACCAAATCCGCGTTTCCTTTTAAAGCTTATATTAACATTTATTCTTGAACCTCAATTCGAAATTTTTAATTTTTAATGAACACGCATAGGGTGCTTTACCATAATTGCGGAGATATACGAAGACAGAGACCACTTTCAATTATTACTTATTATTATTAAAATAATAAACCGAATACGGTGAAACCACTATTCGGCACATCTCTAATACAAAACTATTCTAAACGATAACATAGAAAATATTAGCACAGAATAATGCATAGAATACACCCAATTCCATGTCTAAAGTAGGTGAATGAATAAATTAAAAAAATATTAGAGTAGGTATTCATCTAATTTATTTAATTGCTTAATCAGTTAATTAGTATGTAGTTGATTCGTGATTTAAGCGTTCACTTGTTATCAACAAGTGAACGCTGATTTATCAGTCTAGTCCTCGTTACCTAGTCGTATGTCTATGTTATATTCCACATCTCCATTGTTGTTTTCTTGAGGGTCGTTTGTAGACGTGACATCTACTGGTGTTATATTTTTGCTGACGTCATTCTTCATCGGATCAACCTGACCGTGCTCTGACGTACCTTGATGGGTTTGAGGTCGTCCACTGCCATATGTTGGAAGCTGATTATCATCTGTGCGAATAAAGTCTGAGAATTTTCCTTTTAGAGATTCTATATGTATTTGCGGTTGGATGACATCCTTTTTTATGTCGCTGTGTTCATTGCCAGTTCCATGGAATTGTACATCGCCCGGTGATGAGAATAGGAAACTATAATTACTTTTAATAGTAGAGTCATTCAGCACCGATAAGTAGGCAGAATTTGCAATGTGTTGTGATTGTACACAATGAAATATAATTGATGTCAACAACAGTATTAATGTTTTGGACATTTTGTACACACCACTTTTCTGTTCGAGAGCCCGAGGTCAACTGTTACGATAACATAACCCGTATATATGTAATTACAAACATATTGTAGGAAAATGGTTATATGTTAAGAATACGTCTAACTTAGATTAAATCCTAAGGGGTATCTAAGGGTATATTAAGAAACGTTGCCTTAAACTATAACAAATCGTTTAATTAGTGTTAATGGAAAATATGTGATAAAAGTAACTAATATATTTTATGTAACACTGTATTTAAATTTGTTCATTGAATAGTTTTACCTATTCGAAACGATATACTTACTATGGGTAACGAAAATGTAGCATTGAACATAAGTTTTGTTATAAAAATATACTAAAATAAAAAAGTACAATGGAATAAATGGGTAGGTACTTTTAGTTACTTATAACAAACTCTATTGAAGCCAAGCATAGAATGGGGATCCGCGAAAATATCTACATTATAGTTATATCTACCTAATCTAAGATGGTCATATTTTGTTTTAAAAGAGAGAGAGAGAGAGAGCAATGAAAATTTGCTTTAAAAATGTATATAATATAGTTTTTTTTTTCTACTAAGTAGGTTGTATATTAGGTTCTATGTAAGTAGGTAGGTACTAAAAACACTAACACGCAAAATACTACAATAAAGACACATTTTGATTCTACTATACGAAACACAAAATCAACCACGGATTATTCGAAATGAGTCTTGATATGCATTTTTAATCAACACTATTTAAATAATTAGATTTCTGTAAATGAATAAGAATCTCACACTTATTAGAATACACATGAGAAAAAAAATTAACAAACTTAAAATTCAACCTTTTAATTGTAGAATAAGGTCTTTATGTCATTAATTATTTTTATAATTATAAAATAAATGCTTCAATATTACATATTAATTACTGAAGGTCATTTCAATTATTTTTATTTTACTGATTGTCTTTACGAATGTCAATGTAATATTCCACATCCCCTTTGAGTTTTTCGTCCTGAGGGCCGCTTGGGGCTATCATGGTTGGTGGTTCCGTGGTCGGCGAGGTTACTTCTATGACGTCACTCTTAGCCCTTTCCACGGGGCTGACCGTCTTTACTTCATCTTTTTCATCGCAATTGCAAGGCTTTTCAAGTATCGGCGTTTCATCTTTTTTAATAATAAAATCTTCAAATTTCCCTTTCAGATTTTCAATAAGAGCATAAGTTTTCACGATCTCTATTTTCGGTTTGCTTTCATCATGAAATTGAACAGGGTGTGGCAATGCGAATATAAAATCGTAGTCACTTTTAATCTTTGGGTCGTTCAAAACGGACACGTATGCTGGATGTGGTCCCGAATTAATGGAACCAATTTCAGAATTAATTGGAAACTTATATAAATTAGGTAGTCGCGAAACAAACGACTCAGCTTCATCCATTATTGGATTGTTTTGAAAACTTGGCATTGGTAACATCATATAACTAAAATGCACACCATTTCCACTTTTTTCTATAGGACTGTCGGTAATTTCATCTCCTATGCTTTTTGATAGCACAAAATGGATAGTTATTAATAAAATAAATGTACCTTTAGTGAACATTTTGTCTCAACCACTTTTCCAATCAAGAACTAAAGTAAAACTGTATCCGGATAAAGATACAAAATTTCTTCCAAAGCAAAACTATTAAAATATAATTTAGGCTCACGTCGTTACCCTGATTGCTTCAGTTGTTAAATTAAAATTAGCAACAAAATAAGTAATACCTTCCTTATTTGTTATTATTATTCGTTTTTGAAGGTAACAGTTCAATTTTCTAACAGGCTGTAGGTACCTATTCTCAAAATCCATATTCGATAATATTGTCAACATCATTGTTTTCTGTCATATTCTTTTGCATTAAAAACAGTTAACGCCTCATCATTAATGGAATGTCGATTCATTTACAGAAGTCCGAAAACGATGTTTCATTTAATTTCGAAATGCTAATATGACTACAAAGAAACCCATTTTCGATAATTTATGTCGCAACGGATGGAGGACCTGACACTTTATCCAATGTACAGATAATCTTCAAGGATATTATTTAAACAAAATTATGATAACGATTCGAAATTTTCTGTAATTTCGTTCGTGAACATACAAAGGCCCTCAGATATTGTTTGATGATTGTTTTAGTAGCAAGCAAGTAAAGCTCCTTTAAGGTTTTGCGATACATATCAGTAAGAGGATCGTCTACGCATTTAAATAAATGAAACGAAATATTCTGGTTAAAAATTATATTAAAAAGATGAAAGTGACCAATTTCATAGATCATTTGTGGAGATAAAAATATTGCTATAAACTAAAATTACAGCCCATTTAAATGTACAGAACATCGAAATCAAAAACATTTTTTTTTCTAAGTTTTTAAGGTTTCTTTAATGTTTTCAACGTTACTGCTTGTATACAAGTAAATGAACTCTAAATTATAGAATTAAATAAAGGATTTTCGCTTTGTACAACTTTAAATATATTATAATTTGGTTATACTTGACTAAGGCGATAGAAAAAAAATGTAATATACACCCGTAAAATTAAATCCTAGGTACATTTTTGGTACAATGTTAACATTAAAAAATATATCGCAGCGATGTACATAATAACGTAAGTATATTGTACAAAACCCATATTTTGTTGTTACAATAATTCGAAATTTTAATACCCAAATAGATCTTATCGACTGTTTTGTTCAAGTGATTAACTTAGCAATAGTCGATCGATAGCACAAGTTATTTAAAAAAGCCAGCATACTCCAATCCATATTAAATCTTAACCGGTTAGTAGTTAAGTTCTAAATTACTATTGGAATTTTACGTAATAGCCATTTGTTGCTTGTTTACCTACCAGAGTGAGTCAAGTACCACTTTTGGAGATGCTTAGATCTTAACGTAGTCAAAACACGTAAAAATTTGTTAACCAATTTTTTATAGAAGTTTTACCTTGGCAAAAATAGATTTATTTAACAAGGAAAAGACAAGGTCACCACTATAGCGTTTAAATGTTGTATCTGTTGATATAAATTAGTTTTTCAAAGTTTGTGGTAGATGGATGACGGGCTAGGGGAAACTCCAAAAATAGATAACAATTCAAAAAACTCGACCTATCGGTTGGCCATGATTTCTTATATTTTGATTATACAATAAACTCAGAATCAAGAATCATTAATATATCTGTTTC